GATTGAGGCCTTGGGGTAGTGATTGCCGTACGTGAGTAAGGACGTAAGTACCTGATGGTATGCCTGAGTACCGGAACAGGTAGGTTGGATGTTTTCCTTGGCCTGATGAAAGTAGGACCGTAGGCCTGGGTAGAGAAATTGTAAAGAATTAACATACCGTGGGCGTAAGACCGTGAGTCAATCGTAATGAGACCGAGACCGCGTAAGGTCTTGTATAGAAAGGTCTTGAAAGAGTGGGGAATTATACCTAGAATGAAGAATGAAACTTGTGATGAGCGTAACTGGTTTAATGTGTAGAAACCGGTGGAGGCCTAGAATACCACTGGAGCTAAGGATTAACCAATGCATAATTAGATAGTTAACGACAGATGTGACAGTATGTAATAAATACCAACATATCTTGCTGTTACAAGTCTAGATAGCTTAATTGTATTTGAGACCTAGACCTGGATGAAACCAAAGTGAGAAGAATATTATACCTGTTCCTGTAATAAAAGAACTTGAAATAGCAACTTTTGAGCAGGAATGCAAGAAACCGATGCAATCTGTAAAGCCAAAGACATGTGACAGAGGCAAGAATAAATGACTGCGTGATTCTAAGGAGAAGATGTAGTACAGATGTGGATTTAACGCAATTACCCTAGAAGATCGTGTTTAATAATTAATATCTGTATGTAGGGTTTGAATAGGGTTGGTGTATAGTTAGAAAAACCTGTTCTTTATACTGGTAACATGAGAAGTCTATAAGAATTAATAAAATGAATATTAAAACGTGGTTACTATTTAATTAGGTGTAGGAAAAAAGAGCCGTATCTTATAAAATAATCGTTGAGATTTTAAATGTTTTAGATATATCAAACCGGCCAACACAGTTTAATAAAAAGACTGGTAGTTAGAACGGATTGAATAACCAATACTGACATGTAGGTATCAGCAGTTAACTGACCGAACAGGGAATATGCGTTTACATTTAAAATTTGTGTAAATGAAATTCATGAATTTACTTATCATGGTTTAAAAGAATTAACCGAATAGGGATTTGTACCGTGCGTTCGTTTAAACCGTACGAATAGATCAGTACTGAATGAGAAAATAGCAAGGGGTGAATAGGATTACCATCTAACGTTAAGGATGCACGAACGGGTAAGTACGAGGTTCGTGTGTATGACCGATCAGTAACACAGAAATACAATGATTAATATGAGCGTTTATACTTATATATAGTTTGGCAGTTTTTTCGTACGAATACGTGTAACGGGCGTTCGTCCATTTTGGCGCGAACGCTGAATACGTTAACCGAGCATGGATATGTTTAAAGAAGATAGAGGGAGCCTACCCCTATGTTTTTAGGCCCAAACGGAGGGAAAGAGCCGAATGCTATTTCCCTCATATAGCTTATGTGAGCGTGACGGTCTCATGACCGGAAGCCAGGTACCGAGACCGGGAGGAAAACCGCGCTGGGGCCTCAGAACGGACGGAGGATTGCTCTGGACATCTTGCTGCAGGAAATAGAAGTTGTTCTGGCGGGAAGCTCGTACCGGAAGTGCTGGTTGCTATGGGGATAGACAATCAGCTGAACGGCAGAAGTGAGTAGGGGCTGGGAGTTTAAGTAGGGGACTTACTCCTTCCACAAATTCAGGCCTAATGGCCTTTCTACATATATATACACACACACACACATATATATATTTAACACATAACAGGTGATAAATATATTCAACCATGACAGGTGAATTCTTTGCTGAGCTATATTGCCATAGATCTCTTAATTTTTTTTTATATTGAATGAAGATTTGACTGAGGTTATTCCATAATTGCGGTGCTCTGTAGGAAAATGATGATCGATCCACTTTATTTTTGTATTGCAGTATGCTAAATATCGTGCTAGTACTGAATCTGAGATTATAGGAGGTGGGAACAGCTGAGGAGAGCATTCTACTCAGGTAGGGTGGGAGCTTCCCATAAAAGCTCTTAGGCACAAGGCTGGAAAGATGAAGAGTGCATCAGGATTCCAGCGATAGCCAGTTTAGCTCTTTTAACATGTCACAGTGGTGGGTAAAGTAATTACATTCTAGTACATAGTGGCAGAATGAATTATATAACATATTGAGTTTATCAAGGTGGGTTTGTGGTGCGGGTGCAAACACGACATCCCCATAACCAATGCATTTGTTGTACTGTTTCCTTACTGTAGGGCTTAGGCAGGATTTGTTTCCGTACAGGGCACCTAGTTTTGGGTAAAGTTTTGAAGAGATTTTTTCAATGTGAAGGCCAAAGGATAGATTGGGGTCTAGCAACATACCTAGATATTTGAAAGAACAGACTGCTGTCAGTGTGCTATTTGAATTTGTTCTGATACATAGTTGTTGATTTTGTAGTTTACTTCATTTAGGTACAGTTTCAAAGATCATTGTAACTGTTTTGTCAGTGTTTAGGAAGAGTTTGTTAACAACTATCCACCTTTCTACCTCTGAATTTGTTTAGGAGCACAGCCTAAAGCTGCAGTAGATTAAGTTTACTAGCATAGATTACAGTGTCGTCTACATACATGTGTACAGTTGAGGATTGGCAGACGTTAGGCAGATCACATTTATATAATGTGAATAACAAGGGGCCGAGTATGGAGCCTTGGGGAACACCACACATGACTGGAAGAGGGAGGGAGGCGCTATCAGAAATTGCCAGATATTGCAATCGGTCTGAAATATATGATCGAAACAAGGTTAGTGGACGATCACCAATGCCTGAGTTTCTACGTTTTCGCAAAAGAATGCCATGGTGTACTGTGTCAAAGTCCTTTGCAAAATCAAGGAAAATAGCTCTAGTTAAGTCTCCTTGTTCCATGCCAATTTGGATGTCATTGCAAACTTTTAAGAGGGCAGTCGAAGTTGAGTGATTTTGACGAAAGCTTGATTGATTAGGGGTCAGATAGTTTGATTGTTGATAATATTCATGTAGTTGAGTGTGGATGCATTTTTCCAAGATTTTTACCGGTAGCAATGATATCAGGCAATAGTTAGATACCAAAGTAGTGTCACCACCTTTATGGATAGGTACTACTTTTGCAGTCTCCAAAGTTTGGGTATGTATGTATGTATGTGTATGTATGAATGTGTGTGTCTGTCTGTCTGTTAGTATGTGTCTGTCTATTTCAGTATGTATGACTGTATGTGCATATGTCTGTTTCAGTATGTGTGTTAGTATGTATGACTGTATGTGCATGTCTGTTTCAGTATGTGTGTTAGTATGTATGTATGTCCTTTTTGTAGCAGTGCGTGTTTGTGTGTGTATTCCTGTGGGCGTGATTTGGGGGTGGGCTTAGAGGCCCAGACCTTGAGCAGTGTTAGGGGCCCCAAAATTTCTGATGGCAGCCCTGGTGAGGAGTGATAACTTGTTTTGTGTTTTTTTAAATTTGGACTTCTTCCATTGAAGATTTTTGATTTTTTTTTTTGTGCACATACATCTGGTTTAGTCTATTGGTAAAAGTCTATGATTACCTTTTGGCAGACTCATTTACAAACTAGTCTCTATTCTTATGCAACTGGCTACTGTAGCAAGTATCAGCTGTTTCCTGACTGCAAAATTTTACAACCAGTGATACAGAGTTACCGGTTGCCACTACTGAAAGCTAGTCGCTAGAGTTGAGCGGAGTCCGGGTTCGGACTCGAACTTGACCCCGAACCCAATTGAAGTCAATGGGGACCCGAACTTTTGGCCACAAAAATTCCTCTAAAAACTCGTTGAAAGAGCTAGAGCGCTGCAAAAGCAGGACAAGTGCCCCGCAAACAAATGTGGATAGTGAAATCACTTAAAATAACCTAAATATTTAAAATACAGCTGAGCCATAAAATAGCACTAGATGGAATCTTTGATTTTAGCTTTGGAAGAACATAAATCAAAATCTAAAGCATTGCTGTCAGGAGGAACACCAGAATTATCCATTTGAGAGAGAGTTGGAGTGCTGGGTATTCTCTTTCATTGTTCAAACTGAGCTCAACTCTTGATGCATTGAGAAAAGGCCTTCACAAGCCTCTGCTATTGTCTACATAGTTTATACTACGTGGCCCATAGGTTGAGGAGGCGATGACCGTGGCGGAGTAGGTGGAAACGGCGGTGGAAGAGGAGGTAGCCAACACTGTTTTTTATATATATATATATTTTTAATTTTAATTGGGGTAGCCCCCAAAATATTGGGACATATAAAAAAAGAAACAATTGCAGCCTGCGGGGCATTTCTGGCAGTCCGGATGCATGGAGAAAAGACCTTCACAAGCCTCTGCTAATGTGTACCTATTTTATACTAAGTGACCCATAGGTTGAGGAGGTGGTGACCGTGGTGGTGGAGGATGAGGTAACCAACACTGTTTATATATATATATATATATATATATATATATATATATATATTTTAATTGGGGTAGCCCCCCAAATATTGGGACATATAAAAAAAAGACAACTCTGTTCCACAGAGTAGCTGTTGACATTATAGTTGCGCAGGCACTTTGTTGACTCTAGAAAACATCGAGCAAATCGCACATCCCCGTGGCAGCAACTTTGCATGCGGATGTCATCCATATCAACTTTCGATGCCAGTTTCTGCACCTACCATGGTGATTCTTAAGTTAATACATGCCGACGAGCGCTAGGGGATGGCCGCTCCACTTTTGCACCCTGCTCCCTCTTATGCTGTGCTGCTGCCTCTGTGCGACCAGCACCTCTTCCTCCAAACTGCACACGTCACTCGCATGACCTTGATTCCATGTCGGGTCTAGGACCTCATCATCCTCCACCCAATCCTCAACCATGTTCTCCTTGCCGGTATGCACACTGCAGAAAGCCACAGCAGTTGGCACCTGTGTTTTTCCAGCATGTAAAGTCTACGAAGAACATATGGAAATTCTTTTAGAATTTCCTCCAGGCAACACTTTTCCCTATAAACTGACCTCTCAATTTGACTTGTGAGGTTATTGCCCCATAATTACAATATTGTTTAAGTACCTCTTAGCTATTGATAACTGGTTTAAATATAGCAGCTTGTTGTCTTGTAGTTTCTAGTGTAGAAAATATCAAACTGTTTTCTATCACTTAGATATGTGTAACAAATGTTGTAGGTGTGAAACAATATTACAAGTGACCGATGTAGTAAATTCGAATCAAAGTTACGCTTCGATTTGACTCTCAGATATGAAGTGAACACCTCAAATATACTATTTAGCGCCCCCACCCCCCCAAAAAATGACTTTTTAAAACTTCAATGTAAGCAGCAGATTAGCAGCAAAACAATTAGAATGTTTACAAGTGCGCAGAAAGCACTATTAGACGCTTCAATTTGACTCTCAGGTTTGAAGAACAGGCCCCAAAATGTACTATTTAGCAGATTAGCAGCAAAACAATTAGAATGTTTACCACTGCGCAGTAAGTGCACTATTTGACGCTTCTATTTGACTCTCAGATATGAAAGGCACCGCAGGCCCCAAAACGTACTATTTAGCAGCAAAACAATTAGAATGTTTAAAAGTGCGCAGTAAGCGCAATATTTGACTCTCAGATATGAAGAATAGGCCTCAAGATGTACTATTTAGCAGATTAGTAGCAAAACAATTAGAAAGTTTACAAGTGCGCAGTAAGCGCACAATTAGATGCTTCGATTTGACTCTCAGATATAAAAAACAGGCCCCAAAATGTACTATTTAGCAGATTAGCAGCAAACAATTATAATATTTACCACTGCGCAGTAATATTTTGGGACTTGGAGAGCTTTCACAGTCCATCTATTTTTGTCCAATATTGTGACATTCCCTGTGGTTTGGTGTAATTATCATTATAACTCTGAGTGGGGGTCTGTCATTATAACCCTGTGAGTGGGATGTGTGGTGGTCTGTCATTTTAACCCTGTGAGTGGGAGGAGTGGTGGTCTGTCATAACCCTGTGAGTGGGGTGTGTGGGGGTCTCCCTGGGTGTGGGAGTCTGTCATTATAACCCTGTGTTTGGGGGTCTCCCTAAGAGTGGGGGTCTGTCATTATAACCCTGTGTTTGTGGGTCTCCCTGTGAGTGGGGGTCTGTCATTGTAACCCTGTGTTTGGGGATCTCCCTGTGAGTGGGGGTCTGTCATTGTAACCCTGTGTTTGGGAGTCTCCCTGTGAGTGGGGGTCTGTCATTGTAACCCTGTGTTTGGGGGTCTGTAATTGTAACCCTGTGAGTGGGGGGGTCTCCCTGTGAGTGGGGTGTGTGGGGGTCTCCCTGTGTGTGGGAGTCTGTCATTATAACCCTGTGTTTGGGGGTCTCCCTGTGAGTGGGGGGGTCTCCCTGCGGACATGTCCCAGGTCACTGCGTCACCGCACAGACCCCCCCCCCCACCCCCCGTTAGGACCGTGTTATCCGAGCCTGGCACGGTGTCTGGGGTGGAGCCTGGGGGGGGTTCTGTGAGGGCCGCTATGACAGCCGCACACCGTGCCCCCCGGTCCCCCTCCCGCACACGGACTCCATGTCTGAGCGTTCAGGGCAGCTCCACCCCGGCCACCATCTTCCCTCAGCCAGGCTCCGGCCAGCCAAGAGACGCGGCTTCCTATTGGTCGGCCCGCGTGCGGCGAGTTGTGTCGAGCGCCGTGATTGGCTGCCCGGCGGTCAGCGCGCTGTGTCGGGGGCTGTGATTGGTCCGCGCCGGGCCCAGGCTGCGCGTCTCTGCCCCCTCCCCTCACTGTGTGACTGTGTCTCTGGCGGTGTCAATGGCTCCTCCTGCCGCGGACAGACGGGGCTCACGGGAGGGGATCGGATCGGGGCTGCTGTGAGAGAACGACAGCCGAGCGCCAGCAGGTACCGGCCGCAGGGAGGGGGGGAGACCGGAAACCGACCGACCAAACAGCCACCAGCACCACTGCAGGGCGCCTCCCCCGCACGGCAGACACAGGGCGAGCCCAGCAGCCAGGAGCCCGGTGTGCGGCCCTCAGTCAGCAAATGAACTCGGTCAGAGCAGCCAACAGGAGACCCAGGCGAGTGTCCAGGCCGCGCCCGGTGCAGCCGGAGAGAAACAACGCCGGGGAGCGGGGTAAGCAGGGGGGAGCGGGGGGTAAGAAAGGGGGGGAGCGGGGGAAGCAGGGGGGGTATAAAGGGGAGGGGGGGTAAGAAAAGGGGGGTATAATGGGGGGATCGGGGGGTAAGCGGGGAGGGGGGATGGGGAGTGGGGTAACCCGTGGTGGGGGGTAACAGGGGGAGGGGGGGATTTATTCCCAGGCCGCACGGCTCGGGGCCGACTCCTCCAGCATCCTCGGGGGGCGCTGCCAGGAAAGTGCGCTGCTCGGGCTCAGCTCGGGCCTCAGGCCGCGCTTTGTCTGCACTGACTGCGGCCCAGCTGGTCATTACTGGGAACTGCCCTGTGTGGGACCGGGCTGGGCCTTACTGCCACCATAACCACAACACACGGCCACCATAACCACCACCACAACACAGCCACCATAATAACAACAACACAGCCACCATAACAACAACACACGGCCACCATAACCACCACCACAACACAGCCACCATAACAACAACACACGGCCACCATAACAAAATGTAAGCATTGTATGGGGCCTTATTAACACCATAACAACAACAACACAGCCACCATAACAGAATGTATGCATTGTATGGAGCCTTATTAACACCATAACAACAACAACAACACACAGCCACCATAACAGAATGTATGCATTCTATGGGGCCTTATTAACACCATAACAACAACACACAGCTACAAGAACAGAATGTATGGGACCGGACTGTGGCCTTACTGACACCATAACCACAACACACGGCCGCCATAACCACCACCACAACACAGCCACCATAACAACAACACACGGCCACCATAACAAAATGTATGCATTGTATGGGGACTTATTAACACCATAAGAACAACAACACAGCCACCATAACAGAATGTATGCATTGTATGGGGCCTTATTGACACCATAACAACAACACACAGCTACAATAACAGAATGTATGGGACCGGACTGTGGCCTTACTGACACCACAACAACAACACACAGCCACAATATCCGAATGTATGGGACCGGACTGGGGCCTTACTGACACCATAACAACAACACACAGCCACTATAACAGAATGTATTGGACGTTATTAACACCATAACAACAACACAGCCACCATAACAGAATGTATGCATTGTATGGGGCTTTATTAACACCACAACAGCAACAACACAGCCACCATAACAGAATGTATGGGACCTTAATAACACCATAACAACAACACAGACACCATAATAGAATGTATGTTACCTTAAAAACACCATAACAACAACACAGACACCATAATAGAATGTATGTTACCTTAAAAACACCATAACAACAACACAGACACCATAATAGAATGTATGTTACCTTAATAACACCATAACAACAACACAGACACCATAATAGAATGTATGTTACCTTAATAACACCATAACAACAACACAGCCACCATAACAGAATGTATGTTACCTTAATAACACCATAACAACAACACAGCCACCATAACAGAATGTATGCATTGTATGGTGCCTTATTAACACCATAACAACAACAACACAGCTACAAGAACAGAATGTATGGGACCGGACTGGGGCCTTACTGACACCATAACATAATGTATTGGACGTTAACACCATAACAACAACACAGCCACCATAACAGAATGTATGAATTGTATGCGGCTTTATTAACACCATAACAACAACAACACAGCCACCATAACAGCATGCATGGGACCTTAAAAACACCATAACAACAACACAGACACCATAATAGAATGTATGTTACCTTAATAATACCATAACAACAACACGGCCACCATAACAGAATGTATGCACTGTATGGGACCTTAATAATCCCATAACAACAACACAGCCACCATAACATAATGTATGGGACCTTAATAACACCATAACAACCACACTGCCATCCCAACAGAGTGTATGTACTGCATGGGACCTTATAAACACCATAACAACACACAGCACCCTTAACAGAATGTATGCACTGCATGGGACCTTATGAACACTATAACAACAACACACAGCATCCCTAACAGAATGTATACACTGTATGGTACCACACTGGGGCCTTACTAACACTATAACAAAACACAACACCCCTTACAGCCTGTATACACTGTATGGGACCAGGCTGGGGTTTATTCATAGTATAAGAACACACCGCACCCATAAATGTCTATATACATATTATGGGACTGGACTTGGCCCTGTTCACACTACATCCACAAACAGTACCCCGAACAGCCTTGAATGCATTGTATGGGCAGGACTTAAAATTTCAATGGCATTTTCACTTGTCAATGAATAGTGACATGTGAAAATATTGTGCCCTGGCATGGTATTTGCCTGGGACCTTATTCAAAATCTAACTACATCTGGTTGAAATGTGACCGGGTCGGGGTAGTATTTAAACTATAACGTCAACACACAGCATCCCCAACAGCCTGTATGTATACACTGTTCGGTACCAGGCTGGGGCCCTATTTATATTGTAACATACACAATGCCCCTAACAGATTGCATGGGACACGATCTACCCCATATCAACACATTGTATGGAACAAATCTGGGTCTTTAGCCACACTGTTATAAGTCAGCAAACTATAGCTGGAATATTTTGTAAAGAAATATTATGGGGCAATATGCACAACAGAACCTTTACAATTGTTTTACACTCTGTGGGAAGGAGCTGAGACCCTGTTGATATCATTAAAATACAGAACCCCTGACAGGGAAACGGTCTATATTCATTGAATAGGACTGAGCAGCATCAATATTCATAACACAGCAAATCCTAACTGGAAATCATTATGTATACACGGTTTGTGACCAACCCAGAGCACTAATCGATAACGCACAAACGCTGACACAAATTGGACTGTACTATAGGGAACTCGTGTGTGTGTGTGTGTAAGTGTAAGTATGTGTAAAAAAAAAAAAAAAAAATTAAAACACACCTCTCTTAAAAGTATCTACTAGCCAGGCCTTAAAAGTTACTCCAGGGTTGGACTTCCATTTGCTAGTGGTAAGTGAAAATTGTGATGTTTAAAATATGAGGCAGAAAAGTGGTTCTTTGTTGAATTCATTTGCATATGCCCACCCAGAATCCCTTGCAGTAGTAACAGCACTGCAAAATGTGATATTTCTGTGGGAAAAGCAATTTCTGTGCCTTGTCTGGTGTGTGCAGATCTGTGTTTTAACAATGTATGGACTATCCACCTTCTTGGTTTTTGCATTAAAAAAAAAAAAAAAAGTTTTTTTTTTTTTGTTTTGTTTTTTATGTATGTGTTCTATTGATACATTTAAATCTGTAAACAATAACTGTAAAACATTACACATGCACTGTATAAGACCCACCAGGTTCAGTTCACACGATAATAATCACTTAAAAAAAAAAAACAGTCTCTTTGCATTGTATGGGACCGAGCTGTGCTTTATTCACATACCATTAGCTTGTAGAGAAGAAAAGGTACACAGATTTCCATCCACAAACCGTTTTTACGGTGACTCAGAATAAAAGTTCCTGTGGAATATCTGTTTCTCTGATTCTTCTGTACAAGCTATTGTATGGAGTCCGGTCATCCCAGACCATTTGACACCTTGTCTGTCCCTTAAGTACATGTGTGCCTTTACCACACAGCAAACCATGACTGGAAAACCATCTGAATATACCAAATGAGACCTATATCAGCACAAAACAGAGCATATCCACGCTATGTCAAATCTTACAGAACCCATACTAGGGATACATTTTCTATACACTGTATAGCGCTGAGCTGTGGCTCTATTCAAGTCATCAGTAACCCATGACAAACCATAACTGGGAAACGGCCTGTATACACTGAATAGGACTAAGGTTAGTATCACTATATCAACAATACACAGCAACACATAACAGGGAAACCATCTGTAAACACTGACTTGAAATTAGCAGGGGTTATGAACTTGTTGTATCAACAAAGTGCAATCCATAATAGGATATCTCATATGGTACATACTGTACAGCTGCTGAAATGTGGGGATACTCATACCACACAGCGATAACTTTCTGTAGTGATATGTAATGATTGAGTAGGACTATAACGAATGATAACCACATATTTAACATAGCAGACTGGCCCAAACATGATTACAACCATATAAAACAGATTCACAGTATACATACACAGCAGAACTTGGTGGGGTCGACCTAAGACACCTTGAGCATACTGTAGACTTACTAAGCAGTGGTAAATGCAGCATCCCAATCAGGGCAAGTTGTTGAACACTCCGTTTTGGTTACATATCACTCACAGCTCCTTAATGTACATCAGATGACTAGAGTATGCATTATACTCAGAGAAAGGACAGTAGAGTTGCAAACAACCTAAGAATGACTAAGTCTAGATGTTACTTTAGCACAATCAACTCTACAGTTGCAGTGAAATATTACATTGTAAAGAAGCACTCTGGGTGGTACCACAGCAACCTCACCTAAATAAAGTTGTTGGGAAGGGGTCAGTGATCCAGATTTTGAGAGCGTATGGTCTTGTGATGTATTTTATAAACCTATGTACTGATTAGGAGTCTCTGTTATATCTTTATTTAAGCTCACTAAACTGTACTTCGCCGTTTTTAACACACACAAATTTTGATCCTTATTTGTGGAATTGATCTACAGCCATACATTTACTCTGAGTAAAAAGGGGCCAATTATAAGGTTGCACATTTGTTACTTAGTGAATAACATTAAGAAACCTGTATACAGATCAACCGTTATGGGTTGTCTGTTCATTCCCATGATAATAGCAACGGGGGAAGGGGAGGTTTAACTCCGCTTTGTGTGAAGTGTACACTAACTAGTGTATAGCAACCAGAGAGCAATGAAGAAGAGATGATTACCTGGTTGATAATTATGTTTACATTTTCTTTAACTCCTTGAGTGCCAGTGCGATGAACAAGATATTGTCAAACATAGGTTAATCAGCGACTTTTGCATAATTAACCACAATTGTGTGGTTAAAGGAACACTATAGTCACCTAAATTACTTTAGCTAAATAAAGCAGTTGTAGTGTATAGATCATTCCCCTGCAATTTCACTGCTCAATTCACTGTCATTTAGGAGTTAAATCACTTTGTTTCTGTTTATGCAGCCCTAGCCACACCTCCCCTGGCTATGATTGACAGAGCCTGCATGAAACAAAAACTGGTTTCACTTTCAAACAGATGTAATTTACCTTAAATAATTGTATCTGACTCTCTAAATTGAACTTTAATCACATACAGGAGGCTCTTGCAGGGTCTAGCAAGCTATTAACATAGGGGGTAAGAAAATCTTAATTAAACAGAACTTGCAATAAAGAAAGCCTAAATAGGGCTCTCTTTACAGGAAGTGTTTATGGAAGGCTGTGCAAGTGACATGCAGGGAGGTGTGACTAGGGTTCATAAACAAAGGGATTTAACTCCTAAATGGCAGAGGATTGATCAGTGAGGCTGCAGGGGCATGTTCTATACACCAAAACTGCTTCATTAAGCTAAAGTTGTTCAGATGATTATATTGTTATTGGCATATCTTTCTAGAACCAGGATTGAAGTTGGCAAATGTTTTGGGTTATTCATTAAAACCTATTTGTGTTTATCAAGAATTTGATGGTGACCTCATTAAAAAAAAAATGTCTGCATTGTGCATAATGTTTAGCACTGACATGCACGTTGTAACCTTCACTGTCAAATAATGTTTTATGCCATAGTAAAACTATTTGACTTTTCTATTGGTGACAAGGAAATTGCAATTGGTTTCCTCATGTAGATAGCATGAAGTATTTAGGGAGTGTAATCACTACTTTGTGAACTGGAAGGTGAATATTAATGTTTATGCCTAAATATAAAAAAAATTAAATTATTTTAGCCTGAATTTAGATTTTATTCAATAATCCCTTGGCAGTGAACAGGGCATATTATTAGTATTATTATTATTATTATTATTATTGCGATTTATATAGCGCCAACAGATTCCGTAGCGCTTTACAATATTATTAGAGGGGGGGGGGTTTGACTATAAATAGGACAATTACAAGAAAACTTACAGAAACGAAGGGTTGAAGAGGGCCCTGCTCAAACGTGCTTACAGTCTATAGGAGGTGGGGTATAAAACACATTAGGACAGGGAATGGAAGGCAAATTAGGTGGGAGTGGAGCAGAGCTGGAGGAGAGAGTAGAGTACTGCCCTTTAGGAGAGAGCAAGAGACAGGTATGTGAGGTAGAGGTTAGTCTGGGAGGCCATAGGCTTTCCTAAAGAAATTCGTTTTAAGGCACTTCTTAAATCAGGGGTTCTCAACCCAGTCCTCAGGACCCCCTACCAGTCCAGGATTTGGGGATTACCTGGGGGTGTGTCAGGTGTTTAGAGAAAGGGAAAAAAAACACCTTAGACTCTAGGACGGGAGCTACCCGCGAAAAGTCCTGTAAGCGTGAATTGGCCGTACTGGTACGAGCAGCGGACAGAAGAAGGTCACCGGCAGAGTGGAGGGACAGAGAAGGGGCATACCTATGGATCTGTGAGGAGATATAAGAGGGGCTAAGATTATTCAGTGCTTTATAGGTATGGGTTAGCACTTTGAATTGGCCTTCTTTAGTATACAGGAAGCCAATGTAAGGACTGACAGAGGGGTGAGGTGTGAGAGGACCGACTAGAGAGGAAAATCAGTCAGGTGGCAGCATTCATTACAGACTATAGCGGGGCAATAAGGCTATTGGAAAGACAAATTAGGAGAGGGTTACAATAGTCCTTGGGAGAGATTACCAGAGCATGGACAAGCTCTTTAGTAGCATCTTGTGTAAGATAGGGGAGGATGCGGGCGATGTTTTGTAGGTGGAATTGGCATGATTTGACAACAGACCGGATGTGAGGCATAAATGCAAACCATAGTGATTGTTTAATGGAAGACTCCATGCACCATAACTACTATAGCCTCTGTTGTGGTAATGTGCCAGTAGTGCCCTGGCTTTGTCCCTCTGTTTTTAGTACGATTTGACAACTTGGCTCACTCCGACCAGGCACCAGTGCTGCATCTGGTCTTCTCCACCTAGATAAACTGGATTGTTTTCTACGTCAATACAGGACCATGCAGGACAACGTTCATTCACTGAGCACGTCAACTGAGCGCACACAGCCAATGAGTGTGGTCCTACATCGAACGTGCGTTACCTTTAAGAGACAATCACCTTCTAGAGAAGACCAGATGCGGTGGATGCAGACGTAAGTGTTTTAGAAAGCTGAATGCCTAAAAATCTCACGTTTCTTCCTGGATACTACCAGTAGATTATTTGATAATTTTTTGTGTACATTTTGTCACATTTCCTGTATGGCAGTCATTTCAATCAACCGGGACCATCCCTTTAAAGTATCTTTGTCACCATTGCGGGGTGGGGGGGTCATGGAATATTTTGCAAAGATTCCAAAAAGCCACATCTCCCACTTAGGGTGCCGTGACCTGGAGGTCCACTGTAAAGTTGATCTATTAACTTGAAGATGTGCCCTGCGGTTTCTACCATTGCATATCTTCTGCTCCTAGCTCCAGTCTTTCTTTTGTCTTGCATATTTTGACTGTGTCGAATTTCAGTGTAAATATTTCTTAACCCCTTAAGGACACATGACATGTCTGACATGTCATGATTCCCTTTTATTCCAGAAGTTTGGTCCTTAAGGGGTTAAAGACTATTTTTGAAATGCTGAAATATTTACATTGTATGCTTTAATAAATAAAAGTTATGTTCATGTATCAACATAATTGTTGGTGGTGATTGCTCCTCTTTTTTCCCTCACCCTAGTAAATACTATTAATGCATTAAGATGAGCCAGTTTCAGGAGCTCTGTGTGTGTGGGCATTTGCACCTTGTAGCATATCCCCATGATGCTTTGCTAGATCAGGCAGTATAGGAAAAGGAACATTTGTAGTTTTTAGATTATATTAAAGAATCACTATAGTGTCAGGAAAACAAATCAGTTTTCCTGACAGTATAGTACCCTGAGGGTGCCCCCATCCTCAGGGTCCCCCTCCCGTGGTGCTGAAGGTGTTAAAACCCCTTCAGTTACTCACATTATTCCACCGCCGGGCTCACTTACCTCTCCTACCCCGCCGATGTCCGCTCCTCCGTCTGACGTCAGTGGAGCGGAATGCGCATTTTTCAATGCTTTCCGATGGAGGCATTAAATGCCTCCAGCGTCGCAGATGCGCCTCTAGTGGCTGTCCGCATTTGGCTTAACCCCAAATGTAAACATAGCAGTTTCTCTGAAACTGCTATGTTTACATGAGGCAAGGTTAACCCTAGAGGGACCTGGCACCCAGACCACTTCATTGAGCTGAAGTGGTCTGGGTGACTATAGTGTCCCTTTAATGTCTTACAGTTGCAATTACTTATGTAGTGCCAACATTTTCCTGCTCTAATATTATAAATGTATATATGACTCTAACATTCGTATTCATGAAAAGTTTTACTTTAGACCCACATGTAAAATTTGTCTGTCAGCGGTGTACAAGTGCTGCTTCTCCTGCTGCTATCACCTGGACAGATGATTTCAGTCAAATGCTTCTCCATAGAGGGTGCTTCTACAAATGTGAGGTCATTGTCAAGCTGCAAGAATAGGATTATCTTCATAGAAACGCATTACAATGATTCTGTTTGGAGAGACTTAAGGGAACACTCCAGCACCATAACCACAACCTATTATAATATATATTATGTTGATAATAAGAAAATATGCAAAACTCTTTGATTTCTGGGAGTTTCACACGGGTATCTGCAGGCTATTGTAAACGCTGCAACAAGCCAAGCCCAATACTGTACTATGAATCCTAATAGAAATGATTGGAAAGAACTTGTACTGCAGTGCTCCCTTTGACTTGGAACACGTTTTTTTACACTGATCCCAATGTGACAATAGTGCACTTGCCAATACTATGAAATTATTTGTTTTAAGCAGGCGTTTTCTTGTTTGAAGCTATCACTAAAGATACTGCAGCAAATTTATTCATCGGAAAAATATTACTGAATGTCCCTCTCCTTCCTCTATAGCAAGACATATGACCGGTCTCCTCTCTTTCTTGTGACCAGGATGTGGTCTGTAATCTCTCACCCGTTCCCTGGTTTCTGTTCTAATCCTATGGTGTTTGTTGTACATGAGGCAGTGAGATTGTGAGTCAGACAGCTGTCCATTATTTTTTTCCTCAGTTTCCATTGGATATGAGGGAGAAGGGTGGAGTGAAGGTTAAAACTATTTAGGATTATTTGTCAAGAGCCTGACCACTTACATCTGAGACATTCCCGTTTTATTCTCTTTACAGGGACACCAGCTCTTGTTTGTTCATTACAGGTGATTTCAGGATTTAAAAAAAAAAAAAAAAGCCATTCTGTGCGTTTTCCAACTTTCCTCTTTTAGTTTAGGTTTTGCAGTTAATTTTTTAGTTTACCAGAATTCAGTGATTTGTTGAATAAATCCCTATAATAGTGAACACGTTCATGTTTTGTAAGGAGCAGTGGCTTCATTCTGGAGCAGATTAGTTTTAATTGTGGTAAGGTCTAAACTAAAGTTCAATAAAAATAGCACTATATAAGTGTTTAATATGTACATTAAAAAATAAATCTTATTCTTGGTTTGTGTTTGAGGAGTTTTTTTTCCTGTTTAATGAGCTGATTTGCCAGGGCGATCATGATATAAAAGGAGTTTCTTGACCTCTTTTGATTGAGGGGTTAAATGGCAATTGCTGAGTGACAGCTGCAATAAAACTGCTGTCTTGCAAACTTGTGGTTAAATAGGCCCTATGCAGTTGCTTACTTATCAAAGGCACAGATGGTGTCTCCATGCTTACAGCCTCTCAATGCTTTTCCACCTAGTTACTTGATGTGGTCACATGTAAAGATGCAAGTCCCCCCCAAAGGTGTAAATGTATGGTTAGAAGAAGGAAAGAAAAATCAATATTACACTCTCCATGATACTTTCTCATTAATGCATTAAAATGAACATTTGTGACTTTGACAGCATTACTGCATTGGGGAAGAAAGGTTAATTTAATATTAACAGGAAGCAGATATAACAAACACACATGTATGTAGAATTTCTAGGCAAAAAAACAACAAAAAGCTAGAACCTGTTAAACGTTACAGTGGGAAGAGAGTTAAAACCTGTATTTACATAAAGTGCTTGGTGTCAACCCAAAATAGAACAGTTTGACACCGGGGGTCCACCGGGCACCTCTCTCTGCATCCTCCACAAGTGCCTGAAGTGCTCTGGTTTCATGAGAAAGGACTGGGTTCATGTCCAAAATGGTAGCACGCAGTGATGTTATTTATGGATTACATGAGTGCCCACTTTCTTGCTTTTTAAAATATATACTAAAATACCTTGCACTCAGGCTGCAAAACGACATGGCGTACCACTAAACTATGTGGGTGCACTACCAGGGCTCCAACATCCAATTTGCAAATAGACGGCAGACTAGTTATAAACCGGATCAACGTTTCAGTCCCACATTGGGACTTTCTTCAGGATCGTAGATGGATCTATGATCCTGAAGAAAGTCCCTATGTGGGACTGACATCATGACCTAGTTTTTAACTACTATGGAATAAAAGTGAATTTTTTTTTTTTTAAAAAAGAGTTCCTAAAATGTTTATTAGAAGAGTGCAGCAGTCTATTTGCTAAATATATATATTTATTTATTAATGCTTTAGGCTACATTGGCCATGCTCTATGGATCTAATCAAATTCCTTCACATACTTTATTTTTCCGTTTCACTATTTATGCCCATTAGTAGATAGTTGCTTATGTGTTTAATCTGTCTGTTAAATCTTTCAGATAATTTTATATTGTGTTATGTGAAAAATTCTGATTTATATAACAAAGCAAAAAATAAATAAAAAATAAAGCTTCCAAATGCCATTACTACGATATTGTTGACCTGCCCCCTCCCCATTGTGGTCAAACTCTTTTTAAGAATAGTCTGCCTTCTTACGTGGGCACCACTCCCCTGCATGCATTACTTCTGACAGCTGGAAGTTCTCTAATCTGAACTCTGTCTAGAAGTGCAGGACTTAATAGCTCATTGGCTGAGAGTGATCAGCTGACACCATTTGAGAGCGAACAGAAGTTCCTACATAGGAGATTTGGGCTCTTTTGCCCGGGAGAACACAGATAACCATGTCAGATCTCTAAAACTGTTTGACAACGTACATTGGGGGGGCACCAAGGTACTGCTGGCACCATAACCATGCCCACGATCTGTGCTTAAGGTGTTCGTTTAAAGAAAAAACTTTAATGCTGTATTGTTAGAATGCGGTTTTGGCATACAACATATACTTAGTGTTTTCTGGGCATATATTTGCATTTAATCTAGGGATCATTCAGAAGTTAGTAGAATTTTGAAAGTCTGGCAGGATTATGCCACACACACCAGATTAGATACAACATGCATCAGTATAGATTTACAGGTTTAAAGGATATTTCTTGCGCTATAGTCTCAATCTCCCCCCTCCCCAGCCGACTTGGAAAGGATTAAAAAAAACCTACCTGACAGCCACTAGAGGCAGTATTAGTCCTGCAATGTAAACCATTGCAGTTTCTCTTAAAATGCAATGGTTTACATTGCAGTACTAAGGGGGGTGAGCTGAAGTGGTCTGGATGTCTATAGGGTCCCTTTAAAGGACCACTCTAGGCACCCAGACCACTTCAGCTTAATGAAGTGGTCTGGGTGCCAGGTCCTTCTAGGGTTAACCCATTTTTTCATAATTATAGCAGTTTCAGAGAAACTGCTATAATTATGAATGGGTTAAGCCTTCCCCCTAATCCTCTAGTGGCTGTCTCATTGGCAGCCACTAGAGGCGCTTGCGTGCTTCTCACTGTGAAAATCACAGTGAGAGCACGCCAGCGTCCATAGGAAAGCATTGTAAATGCTTTCCTATGAGACCGGCTGAATGCGCGCGCAGCTCTTGCCGCGCGTGCGCATTCAGCCATCGGGGCGTAACGGAGGCGGAGAGGAGGAGGAGAGCTCTCTGGCCAGCGCTGGAAAAAGGTAAGTTTAAACCCCTTTCCCCCTTCCAGAGCCGGGCGGGAGGGGGACCCTGAGGGTGGGGGCACCCTCAGGGCACTATAGTGCCAGGAAAACGAGTATGTTTTCCTGGCACTATAGTGGTCCTTTAAGTTTTGAAGTAGAACTGCCACATGCCACAACCTGATATCTAACCAATTTTAATCCCTGGGTTCCTCCAGATTCACCTCCATTATCTAAAGGGTACGATTGTTTTTCACAATCGCTTTATTGGTTAGCGGGTCATTATTCTTCAATTTTAAAATAAACTATTTAGGGTTGGAGAATTCTTTTAAGTATGCAATAGTTGTTTTTTACTTTACTGTCCTCAATGGACAAAGATGATAATATAAAGTTTAAATATGCATATTGCAGATCCATATGAGGCTTTTGATTGAAGCTGCTCAACATTTTTATTTAAAGGGACACTGAGCACCATCACAGATTTCTGGGTTTTGGCATCATTAATATTCTGTATTTTTGCATGCTCTAGCCTTTGTTGGTTTAAAAAGGAGGGAAAAAGGTAATGTTCCATAAGCTTGCCTCCATGACACACTTATCAGTGTGTATACAGCTCGGCTATGGACAGCACCGAGTGAGCTGCAATGCTATAAGCAAAGCAGCCTGGCGGAGCATTCTACAGAACAACTTTCTGCTGAGCTTTTTTTTTCCTCATGCAAAAAGTACAGCATATTGATGAGGACAAAGTATATAAAAAAAGCTCCAAGCACACAAATAATTTCAGTTTGAACTACGTCCAATCATCCTGTTTAATGTTTGAATGCTAATCTGAGCAGACTAATCCTAAACTCCCATATCGGTCATGCTCTTGTGGTAATACTGAAGATTAAAACAAAAAAACAAAAAGTGTGTGGATGGTCCTCTGCAGACTACCAATCTTGAGGAAGCATGGATCATCTCAAAATTGCAAACACACACTAGCTCTTAACTCCTTCCCGACCGCAGACGGAAATTTTCCATCAACCTTGTCCTTCAGTTAAGGACCGTTGTAGGAAAATTTGTCATTTACTAAAGTTAACCCCAGATCGCCGCGACCGCGGGGTTAACCGTGCTCCGGTCTGTCTCTGTATTAGAGGCAGACCGGGAGCACCCGATCGGGCTGCCCCAGCACCGGTGCTCGCTCTGACAGGCTGTCAGAGGAGCACATGTGCTCAGTGTACTTACCTTCCGCCTCCCTGCACTTCCGGGTTCTGTATGAAGTGCAGGGAGATGGATCAGAGCTGATCCTCTTCTCCCTGGGTAAAATAAAGTTAAATCCCCCCCCCTGCCTCCCTTTCCCCTGCTTTAATAAAATTAACCCCTTCCCTGACAATTGATCACTGACTACAATTTTTTTTTTTAACCCTCAGGGGTTAAATTTATTTTATTAATTTAAATATTTAAAAATTATGTATTTAGCTAGCTGGGATGGGTGGATGTTAGTGGAGAATTTGGTGTTAGGCTAACTAGGGGTTAACATATATATATTTTTTTTAAAATAAGCTTTAAAAAGGTAAAAAAAATTTTTTCAAGTTTTAGTAACGTTTAAGTAAAAAACAACAAAAAACAACCCGCCTTTACCCAGTCTAAACAAAAATTAACCCCTTCCCTGCCAGCTAATCACTGCCTACAGTGATCACAATACAGATCACAGTATTATACTGTAATCTAATTTCTTTTAACCCTTGAGGATTAACTTTAATTTATTTTTAACCCTCAGGGTTTCAATTTATTTAATTAATTTAAATATTTTATAATTTTGCTAGCTGGAGTGGGTGGGAGTTATGGGAAAGGGGGGAATTTACGGTTAGTGCTGCTTACTGCTAGTTAGGGGTTAACGGTAAAAGAAAAGTTTAGAAAAAAAGTTAAAGTGTAAAACATTTAATAAGTGCATGCATCTGTTATTTAGGCCTGCAAAGGTGGTATATTGGTATACTTCCTTTTGATAGTGATGTAATTACTGAATAGGTCAGATGACTCCCGAAGTTGTCATTGTGTGGAGTGCTCTGGGTTACTGTGGTGTTTCTACTTAAAGGGACATGCATCACTTTAAAGCAATTATCTCATTTAAAATATTTAGCAGACTGAAAAATGCAGGTAAATTATTTATTTTTCTCCATATTTACCCTCTTCTTTCTTATGCTTTCCACATCCACTCCAGGGGGGACACTGATCTAACCAATCAGTGTCCTATCCCTAGGAATGTTTGAAAAGTGCATTGGGCATGCCTGACAGTGACATACTGTGCAGCTGGAAGATCTCTTTACTTTGCAATATCCTGACGGGGGTAGAAAAGCGGGACTCTGATCAGTGTGATCATGCAGTGCAGACTCCAGTGTCAGTTCAGCTGCACAGTGATGACCTGTTTGTCATTAGTGGCCTGGTCTGAAATTAATGGGCCTGAAGATATTCCCCTAGATGAGAGGCGTGCCCAATAGTGGATTTGACTGAATTTTTATTTATTAATATTTATTAAATTTTAAAGTTTTTCTTGATTTTATTTATTTTTGTATATTTCCCAAAAGTATTTGCTGGTTTAAATAAAGTAATTGTCAAGTGATGCGCCTTTGTGCTGCGCTGTACCATTCAGCATCTTCTCATAGAAATGCGTTGTGCAGCACTGACCCCAGAAGCACCTCTAGTGGCCATCTTAATGACTGCCACTATAGGTGTTCCTAGGCAGCAATGTGCAAACTGCCTTTACATTAAAATGCCTGCAGGGACAGGCTATAGAGGCTCCCTTGATAAAGTCATTTTTGCCAAAACATTGGGGGCTTATTGGTTGACTATTGTCCTTTTTTTCTTCAAGCCCTGTGACCACCTAAATATTTTCAAGTTGTCCTACTGAAAGGACATTACTTCATGCATACACACTGTATATGCAATCATTTAAGGGAGAAGACTCCACATTTCTGTCATATCTTGACTATTGGGATCTTGCATATCTCAATGATCTCTAAACCTGTGTATTCTGAATTGCTAAAAACCTATTGTTTGCACAGATGACAAAGTTTACAACTCAGTTGCCAGTTAATAATTTATTTATATCCGAATAACCTTCACTGTATTTTTCAATACAAATATTCAAAATACATTATTTTGTTTTATATATTTTTTGTTTCATGAAGATAGTCAAAATAATTACCTGGGGTCCATCAGGTGCCGAATCACCTCCTCTGTGAGAGCCAGAGGCTCTTTGCGTTGAGCCAAGCTCAGCAGTGCAGGGCTTAGAAACATAGAATGTGACTGCAGATAAGAACCATTTGGCCCATCTAGTCTACCCAGTTTTCTAAATACTTTCATTAGTCCTTGGCCTTATCTTATATCTAGGATAGCCTTGTGCCTATCCCACACATGCTGAAACTTCTTCACTGTGTTAGCCTCTACCAATTCAGCTGGAAGGCTTTTTCCATGCATCCACTACCCTCTCAGTAAAGTAATACTTGCTGACTTTATTTTTAAATATTTGCCCCTCTAATTTAAGACTTTAAATTATGTCTTCTTGTGGTAGTTTTTCTTTTAAATATAGTGTCCAACTTTACTGTTGATTCCCTTTATGTATTTAAATGCTTCTATCATATCCCCCCAGTCTCGTTTTTCCTCCAAGCTATACATTTTAAGTTCGTTTAACCTTTTATTGTAAGTTTTATCCTGCAATCCATGAACCAGTTTAGTAGCCCTTCTCTGAACTCTCTATAATGTATCAATATCCTTCTGAAGATACGGTCTCCAGTACTGTGTACAATACTCCAAGTGAGGTCTCACCAGTGTTCTGTACAATGGCATGAGCACTTCCCTCTTTCTACTGCTAATACCTCTCCCTATACAACCAAGCATTCTGCTAGCATTTCCTGCTGCTTTATTACATTGTCTGCCTACCTTTAAGTCGTCAGAAATAATTACCCCTAAATCCATTTCCTCAGATGTTTCGGTTAGGACTCTATATAATATTCTGTACTCTGCCCTTGGGTTTTTACGTCCAAGATGCATTATCTTGAACTTATCTACATTATATGTCAGTTGCCACAACTGACCATTTATCTAGTTTGCCTAACTCATATTTCATTTGGCTTATCCCTCCTGGAACATCAACCATGTTACATATCTTAGTGTCATCAGCAAAAAGACATACCTTATCTTCAAGACCTTCTGCAATATCACTAATAAAAATATTAAAGAGAATGGCTCCAAGTTCAGATCCCTGAGGTACCCCACTGGTGACAAGACCATACCTTAGCTCAGGGTTAGGCATCCTTCGGCTTTCTGTTGTGGACTACATCTCTCCTGATGCTTTATTAGGAACATGAATCTAAGGGCATTAAGGGAGATGTAGTCCACATCTGGGGTGCAGAAGGCTGTTTACCGCTGGGTTATTGGCTGAGAGCTGTCTGCTGATGCTTTCAACCAATGAGATGGTCCTGCACAGAATGGTTTAGCTCAGGAAAGAATCTGAGCACTAAATGGTTCATGAGCAATGGCTTCCAGTTCAGTAATAGTCTTAGATTTGCATGCGGCAACTGCCTTCTTCAACTCCCAGCAGAGATTTTCCATGGGGTTCACTGAAACCTTAGTGTCTGTTGCCATCAAGTCTTGTTGCAGGTCTTTTGCAGTCATTCGAGGATTTGTTTACAACCTGCCTTCTCAGAAATCTGGTTGCAGCCATTGATGGCTTCCTTTTTCTACCATGTCCGTATAGTGGAACCACTGTACCTTCTGCTTTGAACTTGCGAACTGTGCTTCCAACTGTGTCTCTAAGAACAGTCAGTGCCTTTGCCATCTTTTTGTATCCTGTTCCTTGTTTGTGAAGGGTAATGATCTATTCTCTTAACTTTGTGGAACATTCTTTTGACTTAGCCATACTTCTAACATGCAGTCAAACATGACACTCAACAAACCCCTAGCCAGTTCAGGTATTTCAAGTATTCCAGCTCAAGCACTCCTGATGCAACTAATGAAGCCCTTGATTAGTTGCATCAAGTGTGCTAGCATATTTGTGCTGTTGTGAGTGATACTATTTAGGGGATAATTTTGAGACTGGAGAAGTCATTATAAGTTGCATTTTCAGTAAAATTTGGGGAAATTGTTTGAAGCATTTGTTGTGTTGATCTATTTCAATTCCTGTTGTTTGATTTGCTCATTGGAAACAGTTGAAAGTCTGTACATTTTGACCTGGTTTTCAGTGGGGGTTGAATGATTTTGATTGTGTGTGTGTGTGTGTGTGTGTGTATGTATATATAATACATTTTTTTTTTTCTTAACCTAGCCTTGGTGAAGGCAAAGTCTAGATTTTAATAAAGACAGCAGGTAAATATTATTCCTCCTGTTTCCCTTCTCTTGCTCCTGATTTTTTTGTCATTTTTGTGGGACTTTATTTTGTGACACGTTATTGCTTTGGTTTTTGTGTTTGTTTAGACTCTCATGTGTGCCATGTATGTTTTGTATGTGTATGATTTGACCCATCCTTATTCTGATCATAGTTGATCATACATTTGCTTCATTGTGGTCTGCATTTTGTATCACTTCTATTTTTTTTTTTCTTCTATTACTGCCTCCCATATGCTCACATTTCTCTCTCTTTCCCTGTGGTTTAAGGGAACCGCTCTGATTCCTTCTTGGGCTATGGCTGTTTGTTTGTTTAGGAATTTTTGCTTACCCGTTTTGGATTTGTTTTCTCTTCAGCCATTCTCTACCTGTTCGAAAAGAGGCTCTAGCGGGAGCCTATTATGGTGTTAATAAATGCATCTGGTTTCTGATTGGTTACTTTTTTTTTTTTTCTTATCCCACTTAGTTGAAGGAGGTTTATTGAGTTCTCTGGCACCATAATGTTTCTTGTTCTCTTTTTATGCATAAAACTAATGGCTGTCCTCAATATAATTATTATAGTAGTTTCTCTATCACATGGTTTGTTTTGTCAACGTGGAAGGAATGTCAAGGCCGCTCACTTCTTTTGTTGTGTAAATTCTTATTTAAACCAATGTGGTCTTGCCACTAAATGCCAACTTAATATAGCATACAAAAAATATATATATTTTTTTGCTTTGTTTTTCTCTTCTTTAATCTACCAATACACTTTTTCGTTTTATAATTTCAGGTAAATGAAAGTAAATACTCTTCACTTTTAACGTTTTGCCCAGTTGGCTGATTGTGTCAGACCCTAACAATACCATCAACTTTTCCTTGCTGGGTTTTGCCATTCATTCATTTAACGTAGCGGAGTTACAGTATTTAATCAGCATTGTGTGTTTTAAATGACAGTAAGTGTAGATTGTAATAAACAGCCAGGCTGTGTATGTAAAGCTACGGATAGTAACGGAACTTCTCTGCGCTATTTAAGCAAAGTTCCATTTCAGTTGCTAATCTAATTTACCCACAATCCATCAGACAAGACTGAGAGAAGGGCAAATGGCCGATTATGGACAGAGGAAAACAAAATGGAGGCAGCCAGGTAGCAGGAAAGATGTAAATAAAAATTAAGGCAAGTGCCAAAGAGGGGAGTATATAATTATTAAAGTAGAAAATGGCATGAGGAAAGGAAAACCTAATAAAAGAAACAAAAACATGGCCGAACCGCTTTAAGCTTGGGGCAGCACTGAAAAATGTCCCGTTGTACCCAAAATTGATGTCCGTTGCACTCTTAGGCAGGAGCTGCTATTTGTAGCCAATATTCCTAATCCCGTCCTTCTCCATTTTTGATATGCCAGCAGGAGAATTGGGGGGAGAGAGAGATTCATACCTTTTCTTTTCTCCTGTAACAACATATTGGTGATGGAATAAGGGCAGAGTTAATTTAATGGTGGTGGTCAGGTTGGAGTAAAAATCTCTCAATCAGATTGTGTGTCTCATAGAGATCATCTGATTTGCACAGAACAGCATTTTTAATGGTAAAAAAAAAACAAAACTACTTTTTAATCCTTGCGGGGTAGGGGTTGTTTTATTTTCACACAACGAATATCTTGTAATTTAAATTGCTCTCCAATTACCGTATAAGTAATTATTAACCTGTTGACCTGGAAATAGTTTACGAGTTCGTTGTTATATATGTATTTCTAATGGTACATAAAATCAGTTCTGATAAACTGTTAAACTAATAGTTATTTTTCTGAATATGAAATCTTCATCTGGTAGCAAATATTAAACATTGTAACAACCAGCAAGAATAAGTCTTAATGTTTAAAACCATAACTGCAATTGAATTTTACGGACATGTAATTTAAATTAAATCCACCATGACGAGCATAGTTGCTGCCTTAGAGTGTTGTAACTCCCACCATTCTCAGGCTGTGACCCAATTCTGTCTTGTGTGAAGACGCTGCAGTGTGCTAGTCACACAGTACATTGCAGTTGCTAATGCATGGTGTAATGTCATCTATAGCGCATTACCGCATTAGAAAACATCTGCTTGTTGAAATAAGGGGCAAATCATGCAGTAGATATATACTGTCAGAGACAATGCAGTGTAACAAAAAATGTCTGTTGTGTTCACGGAGAAATAATTAGTATTTCTCTCCATTTTTTGTTTCGTGGCATGCTGTGTAAAAATGTATCCTGAGATACCACATCTATTTCAGTATGTTTTTAAAAGAACACCACTTCTAAAATAAAGTTTAGATGCATCAGTTTTATAGACTACAAATAACCATTTACAGTAAAAGTATATAAAGCAATTTATGTAGGGATTACCTTGGCTTAGTAATGTAGTAGTTCATTGTGCATTTATTAGTCTCTTCCATGGTTTAACTTCAAATAGTTAGGGCACCAGATGAGCCAGTATGGAGAAATGTGTGTTGTGTGAGATGGTGTACATTTCAGGGATGTGGAATTTATATCGCCTGACGCCAGGGACATGCAGTTCGGGGTGTTGGACAAAAAGATTATTTTTATTCATTAAACCCAGCTGTGGGTTAACAGGGCTGCTTTGGGAGGAATTGGTGCCCGGCAGGGAGTGTATCGCAGGCAGGTGTACAGGGACGCTGTGGGTTGGGCCGGCTGCAGTTTGCAGGGAGGTTTGGGGAATGGCAGCAACCAACCGCTATTCACAGTGCTTAGGATTTGTGGTCACAGGGATTCAGCGTGATGTCCTATCTCGACTGCTAATGCGCTGTAAAGGGTAGAGTGAGCATGGGACAGGCTACTCATCCACTGAACATCTGATGCTAGTAATCTGTGCTGTTTGTGTGTAAATGTGTAGTTTGTGTGTGGCAGTATGCAGTGCGTTTGGGTCTGTGTGTTGTGTTTGTGTATGGTTGTGTGCAGTATGTTTGTAACACACTCAGCGCACTCATCACATACAGCCAGCACACACACACACATCTAATAGAGCCACCTCTCTCACACACTTCTAATAGAGCCGAGACACACAACGCACGTGACATAAAGCCAGGACACTTCATACAGGCCAAAGACTTTAGCACATCAAACGTTCATTTGATGAAAGTCCCAAGAGGGGTAACGCCCAAAAATAAGGGGTACCAGCTATGCATAAACTCTGGGATAATGTATGGAATTATTAGAGTTTTAAGGAGGCACAACATAAACTGTTTGTGAGTGCAGAACTGCCTACATTTTATTTATTTTTTGGTCACATAAGCAGTAAAAAAAAAAAAAAACATACCCCTCCCTCACCACCATTTTCAGTTAATTTGTTTAGTCTCCAAGTAAAATGAGTAAATCGAAAACTAGGGCAGCAACAAATTGCTTTGCTTGTGAACACAAACTTGTTACCCCTTGTTGGTGGATGGGCACATTCCAGCATTATTTATAGACCTGCATGTCTAGATATTGATCCATAGATAGCAAACATGCATGATGTTTTGGTTTAACTCCTGCAGTTGCTGTTGGCAATAATAGATAAATTAAAACCTTAGTCATCACACATGTGAGCTCATAATGTTGTGTTTTTTTGTTTTGTTTTTAATCACATCCAACATACTGTTATACCAAGTTTTATTTTGTTTATATGTTTAGAATTGCTAACCGTTGCATTGCTTTACATTTAGGGTTAATGACTAAACAAAATCAGAGCAGAGTAAATGGTGATAATGTCACCAATTACAGGAATGCCATTCCCTCCATGCTTCCAAGCACTGTCAGAGAGTATTATCTTAGGAAATGCCTATAGATATTTTTGTTCCGTCAAGCATTTAAATATTTACTGATTATTTTGAAGAATAAGCCCAGAGATTAGAACACGTTCGTAAACGTATGATTGACCAAGCCGGTGTGGGATATTTAAATATTTAAACAATTATTTCCTCCCTTATGTAACTTGAGCTGCATCTTTGAAATACTTTGCATGTGCAAAAAACTGCATAGTAATAGAGGTGGGGGAAAAAAGCCCATAATGTAAAAGGGTTATGCAGACCAAAAACAACGTTTTAGTTAAGGTTTTTGGTTAGAAGAATCCCTTGCTGGCACTGTGTCCCACTGCCATAAATGGTTAAAAAGTAAACATATCTGCGATCCCACACAGAGGCCAAGTTCTCCCTGCAGCCCAATCCTCCAGTGTCATTCTGCTTCACTGCTGGCCTTGGGGGAGGATTTTTGCAGCACAGAGGGGGTAGCCGTGTTGCCATTGGTCGTCTATCATCGGTATGTTGTGCGTGTTGTTGACCGGCTCCCAAAATGCACAGATTAATGGAGGAAAAAAAATTCATTGCTGAAATGCAAACCTTTTTTTTTTTTTTTAATTATTATTTAAACCATTCTCTATTGTGTAAGACTATAGCACTTAATATATCATTTACATTTTAGTCCTACATTGTGCCAAGTGATGTTTCTGTTATGATATGTGAGAAATTACTACACAGTGAGGTATGCTGTGGATACCAGTTTGGATACCAAGATATTTTGAAGAAAAGGCATGTCCTCTCTCAAACATGTTTGCATGAGGTGTAATAGTTGACGAATGGACCATTTCATTGGAGTACACATTTTACTCCTGATCTGATTTGCACAATGTATACTATATAGGAAACAGTGGGTGATGTAGGTAATACCTTACTGTCATACATAGTACATTATATATACAACCAAGTATTGACGGTTGGGATATTTTATAAAATGACTTTCTATATTGCAGATGAAGTGCCTGCAGACATGGTTGCAGAAGAATCAGGTCCTGGTGCACAGAATAGTCCATATCAACTTCGCAGAAAAACTCTCGTCCCTAAAAGAACCGCTTGTCCAACAAAGAGCAGTATGGAGGTGAGAGAAGAGAGATGCATTCTTTGTCCGTGGTCTATAAAATGTACCTCTAAAGTAAATGAAATGTTGACCAGATGTCAATATAAATTTTGTATCGCTGAGATATCGCTGATTGCAACACAGTACGCATTCTCTGTCCTTGTTTATTTGCAGACTTACACAATGGATGCTTCTTTTAAATCTAAAGCTATATAATTTCTATATGATCATATATGTTTATTCTATATGTTTATATGCATATATGATCACTTTGCTGCCCTTCATATTTCACTGCAATATCTCACCCCACCAGCATTCAGAGTTAAATTCATAGCTCACGTTTAAAGATATGTTTCCAGTGGTTGATCTGATCTACATTTCATTCTATTGTTGCTACCACAGGGCAGGAGATTGGATGGTTGTTTTTTTGAGTTGAGGGGAGTGAATTCATGTTTACAGTTTTCAAGTAGTGCATTTAAAAAAAAAAAAAAAAACACCTTTTTTTGAGAGGTGTTCAGTTTACAGTGATATGGGTGCAATTTTAAACTGCCTTTTTAAATTTTTTGATAAAGCTTCCCTTAATTTCTTATTTATTTGCTAGAGCCTGCAGCAGCACCCTGTGTGTGATTAGAAGTCCATATTTCCTGCTCTACTAATTATACTTATAGGGACACTATTACTAGAACTGCTACAGCTTAATGTAGTTGTTCTATTGTCTATAGCATATCCATGCAGGCTCTTTAATGTAAACACTGCCTTTTTGGAGAAAGTCAACTGGAGGTTGATGTACGGTGTTTCCACATTCTGCATGGAGACACTAAACGCTTCCCGTAGAGTCGCATTGATTCAATGCATCTTTATGAAGAGATGCTGATTGGTGTCTATGGGAAAGCATTGGATTGGCTTAGATTGTCAAATTTGATGATCTCAGCCAGGGAGACAGAGCACGGCCAGCTGCGGCGAGACTGGTTTGGCATTGGAAAAACAGGGAGTAGAACACCTTTTTAAAGTACGCAGTGACAGGCCGGAAGCCTAAACTGTATGTTTAGAACTATAGTGTCAGGAATGCATGTTTGTCAATTTTTGGGTTGCTTTGGGGATCTGTGCATTTGTTAAAGGATTACTCCAACCACTCTGACCACTTCTGTGATTTGAAGAGTTCCTGTTTGTAGGAATCTGTGTGCAGCGTTTCTTCTTGTAACTCTGCACGTACAGGTAAATCTGCACTTTTGTGCTGTTGACTAGTTACACCCCAGGCAAATGTAACTTTGGCAGCCCCAAACTCTGTTCCAGACTGCCTAATGTCCGATTTGTGCAGAAAATCTGTCGTCGGTACGCACAGCAAACTAGCAATGGATGTATTGAGCTGGTCCCTTGTAGACAGAGCCTGCAAAGCAAAGCATTTTCTCCCTGCCTCCCTCCCTTCCTGAGTTGAGCTCTCCCTCTCTCCCTATCCCCTTAATATTGTTTGTAACTTTCACGAGCAACTAGTCATTTTTGAGTGAAAATTCTGCCCTGGCGAGTAGAAATATACCACTAGTGAGTGTGACTTGGACCTTTCAGGCATACAGTGACGTTTAAAGCATGGCTGGTGGTTTATGATTGATAATTGTAAGGTCTATTAACAAAGTTTATAAAACCATACACTGCCTGTTGTGACTTTTAACCATCCAATTAACATATTAACATATTAACAAATATTAACTAATTAACAAATTAATATATTTACCATTTCTATTTCTTTGTTTTTCATTTAGGGTGCTTCCACCTCAACAACTGAAAACTTTGGCCATAGAGCAAAACGTGCCAGAGTGTCTGGGAAATCCCAGGATCTGCCTGGTAAGATGGATTTCAAATTACAAGCATAGATTATTACAAAACAATTCTTACCTTTTTTTTTTGTTTGTTTTTTTTGTTTAGAGCAGAGACATTGTTTATCTGTAATTTGGCGTGTTGGCCAATTTGTGTTCTAAGGTATGTTTTTTTATTTTTTTAATAGCAGCCCCTGCAGAGCAATATCTTCAAGAAAAACTACCAGATGAGGTGGTTCTGAAGATCTTTTCTTACCTGCTGGAGCAGGATCTTTGTAGAGCAGCTTGTGTGTGCAAGCGTTTCAGCGAACTTGCAAATGATCCGATTTTGTGGTAAGTCCAGCATATAAAATTCCTTGAGGGAATGTGATTTCATATTAAAAATGGGATAGTTGTTTAGTAAGAGAGATGATCTGAAAAGTCTTTAATGTAGTGTGCAAAATATAAATTGATTTTCGGTGAACTCTGACAGTAATAGAGCAACTGTCCAGGGGGTCAGTGATATCATAGTATAAGTTTTTCCTTAAAATTCACTTTATATTGAATGATTTTTAAATGGAAATGGTTATCAATTATATTTAAAAAAAATGCAATACTTACAGAACATCCAGGGGGCAAAAGTTATTACAGAATGTAATTCTCTAATTCTTATACAACTTTTTATTTAACACACAAGTTTTGTGTTGCTCACTTATTTGATTGTTTTTTAGGAAACGATTGTATATGGAAGTATTTGAATATACACGTCCAATGATGCATCCTGAACCTGGGAAATTTTTTCAAATTAACCCTGAAGAATATGAGCATCCAAACCCATGGAAAGAAAGCTTTCAGCAATTGGTACGAATATATTTTACAAGATCAGTTTAACTTTTTACAAACTGCCACAGCCCAATCTCCACTAGTCAAGCAAAAACTGATGGCAGAGGGAAGGTTTTAGGCTTAAATTTCATGTTGTTATAGCCAGAGAATAGACACATATATAGCATGTTTTGGGACAAGTGTTCCAAGTACAGTTATTGTGTTATGTAACTTCCTGGTGTAATAAAGGTGTAATATCTTTTATAGGTGTTAGTTAAAATGGATTGGAATCCATCACGTCATAATGAATACTTCATAAAGGTGCTGCCTAATATTTCATGAAACATAAGCGAAATGTGAAAAAGTGTTAGAATCCTTTGGTCTACTGCAGCTTTATAAAAAAAAAAAAAAAAATTCCTTATCCACATCATCTACAGACAAGAATTGTTAATTTTGTTAAAAGAAATATCCAATACTTTTTTCACCTTTAAAAATATGGCTACATTTTAAAAAACTTTTGTTACTGTAAATTTAAACATTTAGTTACCTGGGACTGGTTCTAGTTATATTTTCTTCCATTGTGCTGGCTCCACCAGGTCCTTTTCCTCAGTGTTGCCATCTTGGAGTTTCTAAGATGGCAGCCGCTGAAACCGCTTCTTCTGCCCTTCCAAGGGTGTGCGCATGATGTCATGTGCATGCCCAGTACATTTGTTAAACAAGATCGAAAACTTGAGGAGTTAGGAAAACTCATAATAAGTCTCTATTTGGAAAGAAACATATAGCTACTTTAAGTAGGCAGCAACATCCTAATCCAGTGGTAGGCAACCTCTGGTACTCCAGATGCTGTGGACTACATATCCCTTGATGCTTTGCTAGCATTATGGGAGATGTAGTCCACAATATCTGGAGTGCCAAACGTTGCTTACACGTGTCCTAATTCCTATTACTGTTTTCTAGGTAATTAAAAAAATTCTGAACAAAAATATATAAATCCCAGTGCTTGAGAGGTGCCAGCACTGGCTGCATTGTAACTGTTTGCTATACGGTAATAATGTACAATTTTTTGATTATTTTTTTTCCTCTTTCCCTCATGACAGTATAAAGGTGCACATGTTAAACCAGGATTTGCAGAACACTTTTACAGTAACCCTACAAGATACAAAGGGAGAGAAAATATGTTGGTAAGGTGTTATATAATATATAAATATATAAATTGTTATAAGCCAAATGATTCGTAGATTAAGATTTTTGCATATTTCTTCCAGTACTATGATACAATTGAAGATGCTTTGGGTGGCGTTCAGGAAGCTCATTTTGATGGACTCATTTTCGTCCATTCTGGAATCTACACGGATGAATGGATTTACATAGAGTCTCCTATAACGATGATTGGTGCAGGTACTGTTCCCTTATGTATTACTAGAACTGATATGTATTGACATAACTGTTGGAATAGTAAGTGTCAATGTGGTGGGCTTAAGATGTCCAAATTCCGGTAGGCGTTCAAAGCCACCACTCTGGCATTATCTTGTTGACCAAGCAAGTTTAGTCCTGTGTGAAGTTAGTCCTCTGCAAGATCGGATTTCTTCCGTTTTTCTAAACATTGCTCTGACTCCTGGAAATACACACCAGCCAATTTGTGGAAGTCACCACTTGCACATCTATATAGTTCTGTGTTAAACCATTTTTGAACAATTTAACAATTAAGGCGCGTCCCCAAGCGCCAGTCTGCCTCTGTTCGAGAATGCTTTAACCCCTTATGGTAAGCTACTCCCAAGGACCTTCTGGCACCATAACAATTTATTTTTGACAAAGTTTTAATGGTGCTTAAACTGTCCCATTAAATGGTTTTTGAAGAGTTGAACACATTCGTCTGAAAGGTACGATGGCACAAGGGAAATCCAGGCACTATGACAACTACATTTGAGATCAACTTGTTGATGTGCCTGGAGGATTCCTTTAACCTTACCAAAGTATGTGATCATGACATTTTGCACAGTTTTGCCAACTGCATTACTTTTTGGCTTTTGTTGTGTCATCTATTTATTTATGTTTTGATGTATTTGTAAATCCTAAAAAAAATTTAATTTTGTTTTCTTTTACAGCACCAGGAAAAGTTGCAGACAAGGTCATAATAGAAAACACTAGAGACTCAACGTTTGTATTTATGGAGGGGTCAGAAGATGCCTATGTTGGTTACATGACAATTAGGGTAAGCTACATCATCTAACCATAAGCACTTTGAATAGCGTAATGTCCTCTAAAAATTGAATTTTTTTTATATTCATGTATATGAATACTGTTATAATCAAAAAATATTCAACCTATTTACAAATGACTGTTGTCCAAATTTCAGCTGCTTGCAATGAACAATTTTAACAAAAGCATTTGAAATAGCTCAACACAATGAATGCTTCAAGTGATTTCCCCTAATGTAACTTATGACTTGAAAGTCCAGTTTCAAAATAATTGAACAACTTCATGGCAAGCATCTTTAGTACTCAGTAAAGCACCCTTTTGCAGTCATGACCTGCTGCAAATGAGTTGCATAGCCAGACACAAACTTTTGACAACGTTCCTGAGGAATCTAACCCACTGCTCACAAGCAATGGCCTCCAGTAGTATTCTTGGGTTTGCTTCTTTAAATCCCACCAGAGATTTTCTATGGGGTTGACGTCAATTGACTGTGATGGCCACAGTAGAATATTCCAGGTCTACTTCTGCAACCAGATGAATGGATTTACAGTTTGCTTTTGAGATATGCTTGGGATCATTGTCTTGTTGGAAGTGCAATGTGAAGCTTCAGCTTCCTCACAGATGGCATGGCGTTTTCTCCTAGGATTTCCTGAAACTTCAATAAATCCATCTTGCCTTCCACACATGCATACAGTGCCAGAGGATGCAATAGAACCCCCTGAGCATCACTGAGCCACCGCTATGCTTATCTGTAGGCAGAGTGTTCTTTTCAGCGTATTCTTAATTCTTCTTCCTCCAGACGTACCGCTGATCCATTGGGCCGAAAAGTTCTATTTGTTTCATTGCTCCACAGAACAGAACCCCAAAACTCCTGTGGCTTATTTATGTGATTTTGAGCATATTGAAGCCGACTTTGTGTGCTTTTGGGTCAGTAATGATGTACATCTTGGAGTTCTGGCGTGGCAAACTTTTGCGTTTACTTCATTCCTTACTGTGTTCATTGAAACCTCCGTGCCTGTTGCCACCAGGTCTTTTGTAATCATTCATTGCATTGAACTATTTCAGTTGATTTTGTTTAATTTGTGTATTGCCAACAGCTAAAAGTATGTAAATGTTGACAGTAAATCTTATTTTACTGTTAAATCTGATTTTCAGTGGGAGTTTAATAATTGTAAATGCAACTGTATATGTATATAACTGTATGTGTTTCTCTCTATCAAATGTTGCATATACCAAGGTGATGTGCTATCCCCAATACTGTTCTGCATAGGCTTCAACCCACTCAGTTAGATCATCAAGAGAGTGGAGATCATCCACAGATCATCCACCTGCTCTACATGGACGTCATCAAGCTGTATGCCAAGAATGAAAGGGACATTGACTCACTGACACACTGAGCTAGGATATAAAGCAAGGACATCAGAATGTCATTCAGGCTAGATTAGTGTGGGCATATGATAGCAAAAAGAGGGAAAATCGGGTCAGAAGGAATTCAAGTACCAGAAGACCAAATAGGCGATGTAGAGAACCGCTACAAGTACCTTGGTGTACCACAAACATATGACAAGCATGAGGAAGAGACAAGGATGATAGCAACATCCAAGTACCTCCAGAGAGTCAGACATGTCCTGAAGTCCCAGCATAATGGCAAGAACAAGATCCAAGGCTTTAACACACATGCCCTCCTGGTCATCAGGTAACCAGCTGAAATAATAACCTGGCCAAAGAGAAGAACTGGTCACCATGGATGTCAAGACCCAGAAACTACTCACTGTGAATAGATGATTTGACCCAAAATCCAGCACCCAGAGCCTGTACACCAACCAGAAGGAAGACGGTTGGGCCCTTATGAGTGTCAAGGCCACAGTCCTGGATTAAACACATGGCATCCACAAGTACACCCCAAAGATGGCTTCCAAAGATAAACTGCTAAGGGAATGCCTCAGACTTCAACAGATAGAGGATGCAGAAAAGGAGGTGGTTTCATGTACCACCGGCAGATAGTGGATGTGGCTCGCATTATTTTTTTATTATTTATATGGTGCCAGCAAATTCCGTAGAATTGTACAATGGGTGGACTAACAGACACGTAATTGTAACCAGACAAATGGACGCACAGAAACGGGTTGAGGGCACTGAGCCTACATGCTAGTGGGAGTAGGGATGATAAAACCCTACCAGTGGTTGGAAAAGGCAGGACTGAAACACAGCACTGAGACATTAATTCTAGTAGCACAGGAATGGGCACCAGATCAATAGAAGCAGTGGTTTACCACACCAGACAAGACCCAAGGTACAGACTGTGCAAAGAGGCTTCTGAGACAATCCAGCAGATAGTGAGCGGTTGCAAGATGTTAGCGCGAACAGAATACACTGCGAGAAACTACCAAGTTGCTTAGATTGTGTTCTGAAATATCTTCTCAGAATATGGGGTATACCTGCTTATGTCCAGACGGGAGATACCACAAACGGTAGTTAAGAATGACAGAGCTAAAACTTGCTAAACTGTGATAGGAGCACTCAGGGCTGTAACTCCCAAGTTGGGGGAGTGGCTTCAATAGATTTCAGGTGGGACATCTGAGATCACGGTCCAGAAGAAACGGTCTAGAAACTAAGATACAGCACAGAACCCTCAGACTCACAGGCCTCTGGTAGAAAATGAGGAATAAAATATCGAGAGGGATGGAGGGATAGAACAAAATAAATATATATAATTTATTTGTTTGTCCACCACAGTAAATTTGGCACTTTTCATAAAGCTATTTTGTCTGTTGCTTGTGCAACACAGCAGTATATCAACTGTCTGCTTTACAATGATACTATCTAAATGACATTGTACATTTTTTTTCTTTTTTTCCATTAAACTTTGTAAATCTTCCAAATTTCCCACTAAACTAGTCCAGACCAAAATAGTGTGTTATAATATATGTATTAAAATATATTTATATAATAAATAGGTACTGTTAGTAGTTGGCTTGTCCATTTAAGTTTGTCTCCTTCACCACTCTAAATTATCTTAAACATATTGCAGAAACCTTAAGTCTGTTTGCTTCATATTTTTAGAGTTTGTTTTTCTTTCAGTTTAACCCTGATGATAAATCAGCCCAGCACCATAACGCTCATCACTGCTTAGAAATAACAGTGAACTGCAGTCCTGTCATTGACCACTGTATCATTCGTAGTACCTGCACAGGTATGTGGTTTTACATTTCTCTTTACATTTTAACTTATTTGTGGTTTAAGTTTGTGTAATACCATTTAAATTGGTAAAAATAAGTTAACACACTGCAATATGCAGCCGTTATAATTCAGAATTTAATAACGAATGGGCACTTACTGTATTTGCACAAAGCCGATTCCAAGAATGCTTACTGACTCTCTTCTCTTCCAGTTGGTTCTGCTGTTTGTGTCAGTGGCCAAGGAGCCTGTCCAACCATCAAACACTGTAACATCAGTGACTGTGAAAACGTAGGGCTATATATTACAGATCATGCGCAGGTATTGCCATAATACTATCTATTTAGTTTACTTGCCTTTTTAATAATAATAATAAAAAAATGTCATTCATGTTTTTGTTTTTTAATTATCAGGGGATATACGAAGACAACGAAATCTCCAACAATGCGCTTGCTGGTATTTGGGTTAAAAATCATGGCAACCCTATAATTAGAAGGAATCACATACATCATGGACGAGATGTTGGTGTATTCACATTTGACCACGGCATGGTGAATAGTTTCTGCCTGTATTATCTCCCCCCCCACCCCCCTCCCTTTCCCATTTTGTTTATATATTACATGGAAGTACTAATCCATCTGTTGTGTGCTCTTTTTTTTTTTTTTAAACAAATAAAATATTATTTTTACTCCTGTCCCTCTAAGCCTGGGCTTTGTTAAAATGTAAAAAAGAATAATATATATATATTTAATTTTTATATATAAGATTGACTGGGACTCTCGTGAGCGTTTTAAAATTATTTCTGTTTGCAGGGTTATTTTGAAAGCTGCAACATACATAGAAATAGAATAGCAGGCTTTGAAGTGAAAGCCTATGCCAATCCCACAGTGGTAAGATGCGAAATTCACCACGGACAGACGGGAGGCATCTATGTCCATGAAAAAGGAAGAGGCCAGTTCTTGGAGAACAAAATCTATGCAAACAATTTTGCAGGTGTTTGGATTACCTCAAATAGTGACCCGACCATACGGTAAATATAATATGATTTCTGTATTCCATCACAATGCAGTATCAGTGCCCAGGTATTTGTAGCAAAATAATATTTAGAGATGAGCTTGATCCTGTAGAGCACTTCCTAAATTATTGCCCTTTGTAACAAATAACATAAAAGTGCAGTTCCAATTGCATCAACTAATTCTGCATCGTGTGTTTGAACATATTTGTTTTGTAAAAGTTTGACATGATGCAGTAACTGTGGTGTTCATTTTCAAAAGATGTGAAAGGTTGAGTGATGGCACTTTGCCTGCATGGTTTATGTATTCATGCCCCTAACTGTATGCAATAGGGTGTATTTTTAACGCCTTTCCTGCATGTCGTGCTAATCTGTTATGTTTATCATTGCTGCTGTGTGTTCGTCAAATAGATATTTTTATTCCCTAGCACGTATTCCGTTAAAACAAACATGCATTATTCTTGAACGCTGCAATCTTTATCTGTTCCTCTTTCTCTATCTAACAATGTGCTATATGTGCCTTGCAGTCAGGCAAGGCTTGTGTATGGCCGTTAGCCACGGAAGAGGAAGTGCTGTATATTTCCCTTTTCTTTTATAATCAGCATTGCCTTTTTGCTAACCACAGGCGGCACAATCATTCTGATCTGTAGAGCTTATTGCTGGCTTGCAGCAGCCAGCTAGTCTAAGAATTTCCTTTTACTCATCCGTTTTCTACAGCAGTCACTACAAGCAGTACTGTTGGTACTGCATGGGGTAAAGCCAGTGGCTGGAAAGACTGATGGCTAATAAATGATTCAGAGCCCATCCTGCAGCAGCTAATGGCCAGCTCTCTGTTTTTATCTTCCGTCTTAGACAGACTTCTTTAAAATCTGTTCCCAGAAGTAAAGTCCTCCCGAATGACTTGACAAAAGCAGAGAAAAAATGCATTTGTTTTAGAAGATATAAGGAGAAAATATTTCACAAATGGCTACATCGAAACTGAAGCTACTTATTTACAACTTTGTCTGAATTCAACTTGTAAATAATTGAAGCCTGCTTTGAAAGTATTTACAAACAGCCATTGTACAGGAGACTTCTGAATATCGATATATCTTTAGCCATCTGGCACAAGCAGGTCATGGTTTTATCCTGGACATTTTAATGTTTGTCGAGCTTATTGCTTGAAAATCCAGTCTTTCACCATATAGAAAAAATAAAAAAATGTGAACTTACATGTGAGCAACAGTCCATAAACACAGCTGAACCACGGAATGCTATGGTAGATTAATAGTAGAGAGATCTCTGGTAGTTACTGGTTGTAGTCCTATCTCAGTCGGAGTCCCTCAAGGTTCAGTTCTTGCTCCCCTTTTGTTCTCTCTCTATACTGCCTCTCTTGGCAAACTTATTAATTCATATGGATTCCACTACAACCTGTACGCCGACAACACCCAGATATTCCTCTCTTCCCCTGACCTCTCCCGTGCTGTTGTACAACGTGTCAACAATTGCCTCTCTTCTATCTCTGCTTGGATGTCGTCCTACTTTCTGAAAAACTGAGTTTCTTATTTTTCCTCCTCATAACACTGATCTTCCTCCTTCACTCTTCCTGCAGGTTGACTGTACCTGCCTCCCCCATCCTTTCAAACTCGCTGTCTTGGTGTCATTTTTGATCCTGGCCTCACCTTTGCACCTCATGTCCAGTCTGATTCCAGCTTAAAAAAATTGCCCGCATATGCCTCTTTCTTAAGCAAGATGCTGCCAAGGAGGCTTGTTCACGCTCTAATAATCTCTTGCCTGGATTACTGAAATTCTCTCCTAATTGGTCTCCCCAGAAGCTGTACTGCCCCCCTAAAATCTTTGATGAATGCTGCTGCCAGGCTGATCTTTCTCTCCTGTCGCTCCTCTCACACCTCATCTCTTTGTTAATCCTTACACTGGTTTCCTGTACCCTATGGGAGTCAATTTAAAACCCTTACCTATAAAGCCCTAACCAACTCTAGCTCCTCTTACATTTCTGCACCGATTCATAGGTATGCCCCCTCTCGGTCTCGCCGCTCTACTGGTGACCTGTCCGTTGCTCGCACCCTTACTGCAAATTCACGCTTGCAAGACTTCTCACAGGCTGCTTATTTTCTTTGGAACAGCAGCCTGCCTACCCCTGTCAATCTCCCTTAGTCTTCAATCCTTTAAAAAGTCCATCAAAACCCATATTTTCATAAGAGTAATGGCTATCTCTTAAACCTTCCTCTTGCTTTCTCCTATAGGGCCACACTCCACTCTCAACTCCAGTTCTGCTACTTTCCCTCCATGTCGATTTGCTTTCTCCCTCAATACCTCTCCTATTGTGTTTATACCCACCTCCTCTAGATTGGAAGCTTGTTTGAGCAGGGTCCTCCTTTACCTATTGTTCCTGTTACTTTTTTTTTTTTTTTATTGTCTCATTAGGTAAATTCCCCTCTTATTGTAAAGCGCTGCGGAATAAGCTGGTGCTATATAAATAACCAATAATAATAGTGTAGGGTCATTGCCCAGGTATTAGCGGCAAAAGTGGGATATTTACAGTCAGGTGAGAGAGACTTAATTTGGTGGTTTGTAGAGCCCGTCTCAAATTATTTGCCATTCGGTTGTTATTGTTTTGTGTGACTGGTCAAGATGATATTTCATGTAACACTGATAATTATTTTTATCCAGTCTGTATATTGCATTGTTTGCACACGTGGCGTTCTTTAGCAAAGGACTATAGTGGTGGTATCATGATAGTTCTAAGAAATATGTATTGCATCATGTCACCACTAAGAAATGAATTTTGCGTGCGCAAAACTATTTATTTGCTAATTTTGCAGCAGTTTTCTCAATAAAGCCAGTATGCGAGGAAATTAAAATGTTGCACATATGCTCCGGGTGTGGGATTTTATTTTTTTTGCAATGCATGTAGAGGTTAAAAGTTTTAAATATATATCTAGAAAATGTATGCATGAAATTCAGAAGTTATGAGTAACTAGTCTCACAATGGGGAAAAACACTCATTTTTATTTGTTTTTATAGGTATTTGCTGAACAAAAATAACTAAATGTGTTACCATAATAGTAAGCATGTACTGAAAGTGTATAATGTATGAATGTATTTGTTTAACTGCACAGTACAAAACAACTCACTGTTAAGGATGAACCTCCCATTTGTAGACCTTTGTTAAGATGTCAGTATTTCTTATACCTTATTTTGACTTTTTTTTTTTTTTTTTCCTCCTCCCCTGGTTACTTTTTATTTTCTTTCTCTTCAAGCCATCTTATATGTACCTAATCATTTTTTTCTTCTAATTTTTCTTCAAGGGGAAATGCAATTTTTAATGGAAATCAAGGTGGAGTGTACATATTTGGTGATGGAAGAGGCCTTATAGAAGAAAATGACATTTATGGTACTTTTTTTGTTTTGATTTTGTTTGATTTTAGTAAAAAATAAATGTTAAAACTTGTCTATTTATCTATCTTTTTAACATTTAACAGGTAATGCTTTAGCAGGCATACAAATACGTACAAACAGCTGCCCTATTGTGAGACACAATAAAATTCACGATGGTCAGCATGGTGGAATCTATGTGGTAAGTGTTTAACTGGGATAATTTAAATGTTATTTACTATTACGTTTGCTATGTTTTGAAAAGAACCCAGAGGGGTGACATCGCCGCATGAAGTGCAGTGTCTCTGGTGTGCACCACAGGCGAGTTATACCTGATGATGTCCCACTGTGGATGCCTTCATTTTGGATCTTCAGCTCCTCCACCAGAAACCCCAGATCAGCACTGTACTCGCACATCTGTAAGAGGATAACACTGCTGTCTCTGGTGGATTACTGCATTAGCCTCCAAATATATTTTGTAGCAACAATATTGTATTATGTCAACTTGGGAAATTACCCCAAGACAAAGTCGTCCCTACTCTCTTATATCTTTTGACTGTGTTTGAATTTCAATGTAATTCCAGCGCAACGTTTATGATCAGTTCATCAAGATTTTATGTTTAAGAAATGCTATTTTTTTCTGGGGTGATCAAGCTGCTTTTGACATTGTTTAGTTTGCCAAAGTATATTACTATGTATAAAATATACAAGATGACCACTAGTGTGTTAAAATATTTTGTGTGTGCTTTTCTTCCTTCTCATGAAGCATGAAAAGGGACAGGGTGTAATTGAGGAAAATGAAGTGTACAGTAATACTTTGGCTGGTGTTTGGGTGACAACAGGGAGCACTCCAGTGTTACGGAGGAACCGAATACACAGCGGGAAGCAAGTAGGTAGTGTATACTGCACTGTTTTTGTGGGGAACCCCTGCCCAACAATATCTTAACATGACTGATGTTTCCTTGTTTGACAGGTTGGTGTTTACTTCTATGACAATGGCCATGGAATACTAGAAGATAATGACATCTATAACCATATGTATTCTGGGGTTCAAATACGGTAAGTAGTTTATTTGATTCAAAATATTTGAACTTAGCGGTTTACAAAACTGAAACTTACAGGGTTACCGCAAGCATCATAACCACTACAACCCGCTGTAATGGATATGATGTGAGGCAAGGCTCAAAATTGTCACTAGCCGTTTGCAAGTGAAAATGTAGCCCTGGTGTGTAGATATTCTCTTTTTGAATGCCATGGATCCCTCAGACTTGCAGTGGCGAGTAACTTTTATTTCCTGGCTAGTAGTTTATTACCCTCTTACCTGGGTCTTGCCAGTTGCAGAGGTTTCTATCATACTGGGTTTCATGCTTTGCTGCAAAAGCCAGATGCTGATCATGTGCACTTCATTGTCTGAGAGTGTCAGCTGATTGCTCTGTTGATGAATGATCATCACAGAATTGACATTGGCCAGCCTGAAAATCTTTCTGAGCTGGTGAATGATCCTGGGTTAAACTCTGTATGTGCAGTCAGTTTTAGAGCAAAAAGTTGCACATACACACTCCAAGTGTATGTGTGTGTGTGTGTGTGTGTGTGTATATATATATATATATATATATATATATATATATGTATATGTGTGTGTGTATATGTGTGTATATATATATATATATATATATATATATATATATGTATGTGTATATATATATATATATATATATATATATATATATATATATATATATATATAAAAATAATATTAAGGAAATCTTTTCCTTTATTTTACATTTATTTGTTTTTATAGAACTGGAAGCAACCCCAAGATTCGACGGAATAAAATCTGGGGAGGGCAGAATGGTGGAATACTTGTTTATAATTCTGGTAAGTTTTTTTTTATTTTTTTTTTTATTTTGCAACCCATTCACTCTTTGAGTGTTTACTTGGAACCATGTCTTTACATCAACTTGGTTAACCTTAATTTTACCAATATTTAAGGCCTTGGATATATAGAAGACAATGAAATATTTGACAATGCAATGGCAGGAGTATGGATCAAAACAGACAGCAACCCTACGCTACGAAGAAACAAAATTCATGATGGGAGAGATGGCGGAATCTGTATATTTAATGGTGGCAGAGGTATAGTTTTGATTGTACAGAAAAACCATACCAGTGGGCAAAACCACCTTTGTATAATTAGATCTTGACAAACTATAATTTTGGAACCTATTCGAGCCAGCTGTGTTTGGTGGATTTCGTTGGCCAAGTATTAAGCTGAGTGTATATAAGACCTTCATATCACATCTGAAACTCCATATGATTGCGCAAGTTTTGTAGCTAGTAGCCATGTAGCATTTATCATGTGCCTGTTGTTGACAAATTCACAGCTCGTTTGCACTAAAGAGTGAATAATCCTACAAGAATGGATTTGAACATTTAATTTCCATCTACTCTAGTATTATGTTGTGTAAATAACTCATAGGGGGGGCAACGTGAAGTCTTAATAAAAACATGTATTAAAACATGCTTCATCTTTCTTTTTTAAGGAGTGCTTGAAGAGAATGACATCTTCAGAAATGCTCAAGCAGGTGTGCTCATCAGCACGAACAGTCACCCGATTTTGAGAAAAAACAGGATATTTGATGGATTTGCAGCAGGTTCGTATTTAATCAACAAGAATAAGTGAAGTGTAAAATTTTGATTGATTTTAGAACTATTTAAAACTCATTTTGTACATATTTTAGGTTTCAATATTTATTAGGCACGTGTATAATGTTTAGTTTTACAAATAATTTCTTGTTATCTTTAAGTAGAAAGAAAAGGTGTTTTATATACAATTTTAGCATTTCTACAAATTCAAATTAACATAAATATGTTCATGTTGACTGCTAAGTTTTTTTTTTTTTTGGAGTTGCCATCCTAGTTTTGTGGGTCACCATAACTTAACTGCCTTTGTCAGAATATTGTATAGGTGTAAAGATCACCAATATAATATAGAATTTATATATTTCATGGCCCAGAATCACTGGAGATTTAGCTGATGAAATAGGAAAGGTTTTATTATTTTCCACTGCATGTAACCTGTCTCCCTGCTTTCTTGAGCCTCCATATGTCGTACGTAATAAAGTATACAAAAACACTGCAGTCTCTGTCCTAGTACTTGCACTGAGCTGTGATAAAGCCGAGAATGTATTACATGCAGCGAGAAAAGTACACCCTAATCCTGAGCTAGAGTTGGCAATGTCCTCTTGCATCACTACAATCACACATATATATATAAAAAAAAAAATACTTGTGAAGGCTTAGATTCCTCTTAATTAATGACAAGTGAAAAATATGAGCCATACATTACTTTGTAAGCTCTATTACTTTGATGCTCTTGTTAACTTTTAACTGATTTAATTTGCCTTACTGTATTTTGCTGATCATTTTTGTAAAAAGAATGGTACTTCGCACTTGACAAGTGACTTGTGCAACCTGTTAAAAGGATTGCCTGCACAAACCTAAATGACCCGTTATTTTATTGCATTACATAATGCATTAAGAAATTACAAAACAGTTAAATAAACAAATATAATTCTTTTTAAAGTGTCCTCTTGGTGCACAGCTTAGTGGTTCTGTCTAACTGACCCTTTCCACACCATTTAGAGATATTCAATCCGCATCCTGTAAATCAAGCTGGTGTAAGGTAGCTTGGAAGAAAGTGTCCCCGCTATATGGGTCTAATTATAGCGGCAGCAATGTTTACATATTGCTGCCACTATTCACTTTCAGAAACAAGTGGAGTAAGGGACACTGTAAAACCTTATAAATAATAAACCTTTTAGTCTGTTTTTCATAAAATATCTATTCCACCTTTGTCTGCCTTAGTAGCTCTGATCTAAACCGTTACATTTTGGACCACTTTGCTTTCTGTATACCTTTTGGCCTCAGAAAATTAAAGTAAATGGGCATATTGTGTATGCCTTTAAAATGTATTACCCTAATTTATTTTTGAGTATGAATTAAATGATAATGGTTGTGTATAATTTTTAATGCAATGGATTTATAAAGAAATATGTTGATTACCGGGCAGGACACTATCTCTGAAAGAATTTACTAGAGCTGTATTGCTGATTGATAGTTCTGCATGTTTAAAACCTTTCTTTTTATGATTTTATTTCACAGCCTGAGGGGCATGTTACAGTGGACCATAATCATTGTCACAATGATTCTGTGGAAGTGATCATGTTTGGTAAACTGGTTTTAAAAACATGCCTCTGCTGAGAAACTTTTTCTTATTATGTAGCAAAACTATCAGACTGTTTGAGACTGGAATTTGTTGAATATATTTTGTGTGTAAATAGCACAGTTTATCTTTGAATATGACATTGTAAGGTTTATTGCTTTTAGTGTAATGGTAGTAACTGTATTGCTCTCATCATACCAAGCTAGATGATGTATAAAAAAAAAAAATACCAGGAAAGGTTAAAGGTTCTTAACATGTATAGCTTGGTGGAAAGACGAGACGGGGGGTATGATAGAAACATTTAAATACATAAAAGGAATCAACACAGTAAAGGATGAGACTATATTTAAAAGAAGAAAAACTACAACAAGAGGACATAGCCTTAAATTAGAGGGGCAAAGGTTTCAAAATAATTTCAGGAAGTATTACTTTACTGAGAGGGTAGTGGATGCATGGAATAGCCTTCCAGCTGAATTGGTAGAGGTTAACACAGTGAGAGAGTTTAAGCATGCGTGGGATAGGCATAAGGCTATCCTAACTATAAGATAAGGCCAGGGACTAATGAAAGTATTTAGAAATATTGGGCACACTAAATGTGCCGAATGGTTCTTATCTGCCGTCACATTCTGTTTATTTTTTCAAACGATCGCAGATGTCCAAATGGTGGGGTTATGTTACAAAGGCAAATTTCTTAGTGTAGCCCATCATCGGGGACGTCCATGGAGATTAATATTTTTTTTTAAATCTGTGAAAATGCTAATTCTGTCCTTAAACCACCATTATAGGCACCCAAACAACTTCAGCTCAGTATAGTGGTCTGGGTGCCAGGTCCCCCTAGTTTTTACCCTGCAGCTGTAAACATAGTTTCATCGGCAGGGGCAAGAGAGGTCACCAGCGCCGAGGGAGCCTGGGTTTTAACCCCTTCAGCCCAGCGGGCGTGGGGGGACCTAATAAATTTTAAAAGCAAAATGCAGAAGCTAGAAATTCCTTTGCTCCAGTTGGGGTCTTATGCATTTTCACAGCTCATTATTAGGAAGATGTGCACAAACATGTAATACTAAACAGCATGTTACTAGACATACCATTGTTGCATTGTAATGTTCTGTTTTGTCCTCCATCTGTCAATAAAGGTATTGAAATTACAAATCACGCTACTGCAACCCTGGAAGGCAATCAGATCTTCAACAACCGCTTTGGAGGATTATTTCTAGCATCTGGTGTCAATGTTACTATGAAAGGTATTTATTAATTCTAAATTCCCTTGGCTGAATTGGCCAGTATAATTATGCATAGTGGCTGCTTATAAAAGCCTATCTTTCTTAAATAGTCTGTATACAGCAAATATTGTATTAATTGCATGTGGAAATTAGCAGATGGTGGATTTTGTGTGAGTAACAAACTGCACATACTGGAAGAAAAAGATAAATTGGCTTTCAGTGTTTCCTCCCAGAATGTGGGAGCAAAAGTTCTAGCGACATCGACACACATCTTAAGCTACTTTCACATATACCCAATTAACCCTATTTTCAATTACATAATACATCTCAAACTATCAGTACACACCCCAAAATATCCAGACACTCATCATTTAAGTTGTATTTATTCTCCCTCGTCTCCGGCTGCTCCACTGATTTGGCATGGAGAGGTGATCGAGAGATGCCATACTCTGCACCCGTTGGCTAGCAGAGAACATGCCATAGCAGCAGATATTTTCTGCTTCCCTTGCTGTCCCACACAGTATCTTGATACAGATTTGGGAGTATAGTGATATTTATCCCACTCATTGCTTGCTCCATTTCAGACTTCAGGAGCCATCCGGGGTGATCAAATATTCTCCCCCAACCAATACGGACGTACATTCTTTGGTTAGGTTCCACTGGATCTGGCATTGAAATTTCTAAGCCTTGTGTTATCTTAAAGGTTCATTAAAACCTTCAGATCATTCCAATAAAATGACAGCTATGGAAAAATAAAGCCTGTGTAATGGAAGTGCAGTCTATAGTGCCAAACTGTATTGTAACTCAGGACCCAGGCATTGCTATGGGGCTGAAAGTTATTAAAATTCAATTTTGCACCTGGTGTTGGAAATGCCTAAACACTTGATGCAAATTTTCCAGTGCTTACAATCTGTTGAACAATTACTTTTATCTTGGGAAACACTTTAAGCAAAATTAAAATACCTGTTTCACTAAGTTTGCCTTGAGCACTGTAACTTCTGACTCAATGCTCAGAATCCATCTAACACTATTGAAGGGGATTTGGAATCCCAACTTCCAATGCAGGTTTCCATGATATTAGAGCAAATTGTCTTTTGACTTGCTCAAGCTTATTTAAATTTCTAAGCACCACAATGGAAAATGGTGGCAGATGACCTAGCATTTCCCCACAGAAATTCTTCAGTAGAACACACTGACATGTCCAGCTTGTCTAAGATGCATGGATATTTGAAAAAGAAAAAACAAAACCTATGGTAGCTCTTGGAAACCAGATAGCTTGTTTTTATATGTAACTTTATAAAAAGATCGCCTTGCAGATCACAAGTGACATTTCTGCATGAGTCTTCTCATGGACCTGTTCCAGGTATAATACATTTTAGAAATTTTTGTGTCAGACAAACTGCTGCAGGAGAAGCCACTTATTATACAGAGACCTGTGCAAAAAAACATTTGTAAGTAGATTTAAATAAATACAATAGAGTAAATGCTGCATTTGCTTCAGTAGCAGTCTCTATGGAAATTAGATTATGCTTATCTTCAGGAAACAAGCTATCACGGGGCCTACAATTTTAGGTCCTACCTAGCCAGGTCTTAGGTTATACTGGCTTTTGTGATGTGAAAAATGACTGCTCATAGAGATTGGGATCTAGGTAATGGCCTTCAATACAGCTCAAAATGTAAAAAAAACAAAAAAAACATTTTGCAGTATTAGATGCAAGCTTTTCATCTTGTTATATGTGATTAATGGTTTATATCTTTTGCAGATAATAAAATAATGAACAATCAAGATGCCATAGAAAAAGCAGTCAATAGAGGCCAATGCCTATATAAGATATCAAGTTATACCAGTTATCCAATGCATGACTTCTACAGGTAAATATAATTTAGACCATCACTACAAACAAATCTGTGTCTAGATTGTCATGTAGACCATCTTCTTTAACTCGTTCACGCTTTTCAAATCTTTACCAAAAAAGATGAAATATTAAGCACAAAGCACAGTAACTGTTCTGTATTTTACAGACTGGGTTTTGTTGAGTGAAACCTGTACCAAAGCTAGATATTAGAATCTTAAAACCATGCTGTCCAGTCTATTAAAATAAGACTGTCACTAGAGAGATCCGTGCACATCTAAACGGCCAACTGTAAAAAAAAATTTTTGTGTGTGTGATTAAACGCACTACATTTTTTTATTTTAGTGGCCAATTGCCTTGCACTTTTTACGACACCAATGATTGCTTCAAATAACATGAACAGCATTTCTGCATGCCTGAGTATGCCAAGGGCATCGTGTGGCTGCAACACACTAGAGGAGGAGTATACTGGGATGAGGGAATAAGAAAGTGACAAACAACTAGGGTGACACTTTACAATCACATTGAATCTTTCCCTTACGTAAATATAGAATCTTCAGATCACAACACACACACACACACACACACACACACACACACACACACACACACTCTCAGTAAAGAGCTTCAAGAAACAGCTATGCTTACTGAATGTGTTTTATATAAAAACCTTAACATGTTGCTGAATAGTTGATATTCAAAGCTTTTAATTAAAATTTTATATATAGCTTTTATACTTTTTTGCAAGTGTTACTTTAGTGGGAAGCTATATACAGCCTATGCATATGTTTTCAAAACCCTTAGCCTAATGTTAAACAGGATTATATTTGTGTAGTATCTATATGCAATACGGCTAGAATATATTAAGGCAGTTTCTCATTACTGTTCCTCATGTCATATCTGGTGGTGAACAAGCAGTTGTACCCTTTCAGTTTAGGACATACATACATACATACATACACACACACCCCCATTTGCCACTGCTGCTACTTATTCAGCTGCCGATTTCTGTTAATTCCGAGAGCATGCGCTGAGAAGTGCTTTGAGTCTCACTGGGAGAAAGGCGCTATATATAAATACTAGATATTATTAGACTTGTGCAAATATGTTTAAGCTGGCACAAACAAATACATACTTTTGAATCTACGCCTGAACTCATTTATCCAGCTAGGGTTTACCTGTGTGAGTATTATTCGTTAAATACAACTTCATTAGTAACTATCTTATGGATCGATTAGCTCAGGTGTAGATTAAAATGCCAGCTAAAAAGCATTCATGCACAAGTTCACTGTTGTAACAGGATTTTAGCAAGCTGCCACCAGGGGAAAAAGTGTTATGGGCAAATGCAAGTGTTAGGGACCTCTACAACTTTACTGGTCAAAAGCAATGTTATTACAAACCTGGAAAGAACCCCTTTACTTTAAAATACAAGTGGGTGTTTTTTTTGAGGGGGTAGGGGATACATATGACAGCAGAATTAAACTTGGTTTGTACACTGGCTGGTAGGTCCACTTCAGAAATGTGGATTTTTATTTATGTACATTTCCTTTACTTAAGTAAAAAGGATAAAGTATAAAATAATTGTATTTGGTAAATTATGATTCAAATGCATTAATTTTGTGTTTCTAGATGTCACACCTGCAATACCACAGACCGTAACGCCATATGTGTGAACTGCATTAAAAAGTGTCACCAAGGACATGACGTAGAATTTATTAGACATGATAGGTATGTGTTTGAATTGAAGGCATAAGACTACAGATTTAGAATGTGTTCTGTAAAGCATGTGCCTAATTATTTTCTCTCATCCTCTAAGGTTTTTCTGTGACTGTGGTGCTGGAACATTGTCTAATCCTTGTACATTAGCTGGAGAACCCACACATGACACAGACACTCTATATGACTCTGCTCCACCTATAGAATCTAATACTTTGCAACACAACTGAACTCGTTCTTGAAGGGGGGAGTCCTGCCATCATAAACCTCTTCTTTTGTGGAAAAAAAACAAAAACAAAAAAAAATTGCCCATTTCTGGAAGACTGAGATGTTTATATGAGCAAACTTAAACCTGCCAAATAAATATATAAAGGAAGTAGAGATGGAAGAGGCAATATATTGACTCAGGATTAAAAGGAAGAACTGGGCATTTTTAGCATTACTCTGGACTCAAGACTTTAAGGACTTACGTGAAGAAAATAAGCTGCAGATTTGTACTGACACCACAGTAAGCTGGTGTTTCCACAAGTAGTGTTGTAAGGCAGTCCGATTTGCAGTAGTACTATTCTGTAGACAGGCAGCAGGGGTCATTGCTGTTGCCCTTATGGGCATGGGTACCAATTGCTTTTTGTAACATGGTAAATGTGAGCTAGCACTTCTGCATTTTTTTTTTTTTTTTTAAACATGTATTCAGATTGAGATATTTTAATGCTTTAATCTCATGTAGGTTTTTTTTTTTTAATTTTAATTTCAAGCAAACTTATTGTACTTGAACGTGTCCTGTTTTGTTAGTACACCATAGAATTGCTGTAAACTGTACTCATGTCCCAGTATCTATGTTCTTTCTATGAAAGAGAAAAAACACTAATCTTAATCCAGCAATTTTTCTGGTATCCTTTTGGAGAGTTAGAATGTTGTCTCCTTTCCACTTGTAACCCCCTTCAACAGTCCTTGTATACAAGAACATGGGATGTCAGGCCCTCCAGCTGTAATTTCCTTTGGCTTCTGGGTAGTTCTACTCCAACAGATGGAGGGGGTCAGATTTGGACTCCCAGGTCATTGACCATTGTCCATAGGAGACATTGTAGAGATGCACTGATGCTGCGTGTGGATACTTCCATCACTCCCCTTGGGATCTGGCGGGTGTTAACTTTGGTTAAAAGTTTACTGTAAAGTTTCTGAAATCCTATGTTACTGTTCATTTTTATTTGAACAGCCTGGAACTTGTACACTTGCTGGAAATTTAGAACAATTTCCTGCTCTTATGAAGCTGAGACAAACCTATATACAGCTCTACACAGTTTCATAGCTTTTGTGTTTTTATTTTTTCTTTTCCATTTATATGTATTGGTGACAGTGGATAATCAACAGCCTGAAAGTGTATGCATGTACCATAACATCTAGACTTAATATATTGTGGAGTATTCAATAACCATTATGTAGAGGGTAGGTATGAATTAAAAGGGGTTTTAATTTCCTAGGAAAGAAAAAAAAAAATGGAAATATGGTCATTTTTAAAAAATAAAGTTTATTAGATCATACCGTGTGAAAACCAGCCTTGTGAATAAACACCAAAAACAGTTGTGTTTTTTTTTTTTTTCCATATTATGTTCTCTCCAGCAGTTTATGTAAAGCCGGGCCATTGAAAGGTTTTTCCAGTAGAAGGTAGAGTTCTCTGATGGGTTAAATAAAGACACAATTACCAAAAAGTCTATACATTTTAATTTGGACTGGCAAAATATTTCTCTAATTGAAGCAGTTATTCGGAGGCCCCTAGACTCAACCTTCTGTTCAATGCTAAACGAGAGTTAATATAATAGCAGCCCCATTAATGAGGAAATGTTACCATGAGCAGAAGCTCATCCTACCTCCAGTGGGCTGTAAGTGACAAAGGACCCACACTCCTTATTAAAACTATTCAGAACTAAAGGGAGTCAGCAGCAGGTAACACCAGATCTTAATAGGCAGTGGATGGCTAACCTTGACACCATAAATTGTTTCTGGACTAAATTTCCCATGATAGCTGGCTTAGCATCATGGGAAAAGTTCAGAAAATTTATGGTGTCAGGGCTAGCCATCACTGCTATCTAGGGTCAGGCACCATGCTATTCGTTAAGGCAAAGAACACAAATCCAGTGCCAATATGTGGAGTCTAGGGTACCAGACCTGTCTTTAATGTTATCACCACATTGTGTGTGAGAGGTTGCTACATCATCGAATATAGAAAGGAAATACCTATGGCCTAAATGTTATAGTTTACAATCTGCTGTAGGTTGGTTATTTCTATACTGAAGTAGCCCCAGGCCCCAGTTAAGTGGTGAAGAAAACTGAAAGTTGATTTAAATTTGGTTCTATAAACTAATAAAAAAAAAAAAAAAAGTAACCTGCATTTTGTGTATAGTTGTACCCAGCGCTTACATTTTCAATATTTGTATGCTCTTACAACCTTAAAGGTTGTGCACTGCAGCAAGCCTGGAGAGTCCATGGAACACCAGGGTTGAATTTCCAGTAGACATTAGCTAAAAAGTTTAGCCCTAGCTGTAAACTATCACCGTTTGATTACAAGTAATTTTTTTTTTTTTTTGAGAGGTTAAAACACTTACCTGAATAGCTTCAGGGAAATTGTAACTCTTTCAAATTCTTTTGCTTTCTTGTGTCCTGCCTGAATGATCTCATCAGGAATATTTGCAAGCCTCGCTGCATTGAATCCATAACTTTTAGGGCATGCTCCCGCAATGAACTTGTAGAGAAAAGTAATGTTCTCCTGGCTCGGATCTTCACACTCATTTTCAACCATGCAAGCCTAAAATGACAATGAACCTATTTGCTTTACTGTAAAAATGCAAATTCTATCAGCAATATGCAGAAGTCAGAAATTCCTTTGCTCCAGTTAGGGTCTTATGCATATTCACAGCTCATTATTAGGAAGATGTGCACAAACACGTGTAATATTGAGAGGGGGGGGAAGGGCAGAAAATATTTATGCCCAGAGTAGTGATTATGCAGTGTCCTTGTGTAAATAGTTTGACTTCTTAACTCATCAAATAGATCAGTGCAGCTTGAATCTGTAGCAGGGTCAGAGGAAGAGCCAGTACCTTTCAGCCTACATGTATATTTTCAAACAAACAGTTTCACTCCTTCCATTGGGGGGGGGGGGTGCCATAACATCTACAATAGGTTGCAGTAATTGTTTCAAGTATTCCTTTTAAAGTACTATCTCAATAGTGCATTAAAAAAAATAATGTCAATGTGCCCTGCTCTTCTTGCTACCTCAACGCAAAAATGAAGCAGCAGTAAACATGCACAAGGTGCCAGACCACTCGTGAGCCTCTGATTCCAGTCTTAAGGGTGCTTCTCGTATCCCATAAAACCTATGATCGTTTGAGATTCAGAATAATCCCTTAGTGACAAGACAGTTTTTCCAATTATCTTACCGTTTGGGACCAGGGCTGTTTTACATTGTTTGTGTTTAGTTGTAGTTTTCACACCATTAAATGGTCTAAATATACCATTATTTTCATGATATAAATTTACTATAGGTGTTTTTTTTAATAAACATGATGAAAAATTTTTACGCTTCTACAACTACCAAAAAACACCCATGCTAAATAGTTTCTAAATTTTGTCCTGAGTTTAGAAAATGCTCAATGTTAACATGTTATTAGCTTTTTTTGGTGTAAGTTATAGGGCAATAAGTACAAGTAGGACATTGCCATTTCAAAATATATATTTTTAAAAATGTATCAATAGTGGCATTGTAACACTTATCTGTCACAAATCTCTGAATCACACCTCTTTTTTTTTTTAAAGTAGACAACCACTATGGGGTATGTCCAATCTTTTTTAGTAGCCACTTAGTCACAAACACTGGCCATAGTTAGTGTTTATATTTGTGTGTTAAAAATGCAAAAAACTATTATGAATGCAAAGTTTAGCTAGTGTTTGTGACCAAGTGGCTACTTAAAAAACAAAAAAAAACCCTTATTTTGCAAATGGTATGCAGTCACGGGGGTAATCCTTAGTCCTGGACTACCATACACTCTCAAAAGCAACATAACCAATCTGGCAAATTTCAATGTGGAAAAAAAGGAAAAGAAAAATCAAGTCTATTTGACTCTAACTTTCAAAAAAACACTATAAAACTTATACATGAGGGGTACTGTTATACTCGGGAGACTTCACTTAACAGAAATATTAGGGTTTCAAAACCGTAAACCTATCACAACAATAATCAGTGAAAGTGCCATTTGTGTGTAAAAAAAAATGCAAAAACACTTCACTTTCACCGACAATATCATCGCTGTGATAGATTTTACTGTTTTGAAACACTAATAGTTGTGTTCAGCAAAGTCTCCCAAGTAAAACAGTACCCCCCATGTACAGGTTTTAGGATGTTATGGAAAGTTACAGGGTTAAATACAGTGCTAGCAAATGAAATTTCTCTGGACTTCCGGCCTGGTTTGTCAGGCAGGTCCTGCAATCAATAATAATTAAGTAAAAATATTACATAAATGCACATAGAATTTAAAAATACACATTTATATATTTGAAGTCTGTGTATATTTATGAAATTATGTATATGATATATATTTTGCATTATATTTATATATACACAGATTTCATTCTAGGTGTATTTTGATAAAAAATATATATTATAAAAACAGTTACAATAAAATTCTATATTCATTTAATTTTTTTTAATTTATATATTATTTAAAAAAAAATTACTTGGTATGACGTCACACCGATCACGGGCGAGGGAATAGTGGCGATCAGATAACTAACAGATTTGTCTAGTAGATTTTACCTAGTACGTCCGCTGTCCATGACATGAGTGGAGATGTTCAATAGGCTGATATTAATATAACTTTTGCTGTCTGCAAACTGACAGCACCATCTCCAAAATCAAGAGTCAGGCATGTGTATATTGACAGCTTGGTAGGAGGTGGGGGCTCATGTAACATCTGCACAATGCAAGCACAGGTTAGACAGGTCTTGAACATTCCTGACATGAATGAACATACGACAGCTTGTACAGTGCTTTACAGACCCATGAATCTAGCCGGATGTAATACTGGACACATTTTCTAGATCTTTACGCAGCCATAGTACAGCGCAACAGAATTTGCTAGCGCTATATAAATAATATAAATGAACACTTACCAGCCATAATCATGCTAGTACGTTTCTGTTTTTTTTAACCTCTTTGATATTTATCAAAATAATTTAAGGTGATAGTTATAATAAATAAATTTTTTAAATCAAAATAGAATATATATATATATATATTTTTAATTAAAGGATACAGATTAGTTAAATCTCATGCATGGAACTTACCATATGTCCAAGACGCACAGATGGGGTGTAGGAGTAATCCTCCACTAGAGTATGATAATGCGTTGAAAACAAAGTACGGCATTTAACACTTTCAGAAAGCTCTTTAACCACTGCACTTGCGATAGCAGTCCCATCAAACGTAGCCGTACCTCTTCCTGTGAAATAGAATGACGTAATATTTTACCACCAAATGACCACCTATTCCACAAAATAACCCAAGTAAAAAAAAAAAAACAACATTTAAATATAGAAATGCAATGACGAGTTCTAAAAAGCCTAAAGAGAATTTGTAGACATCCGAGTTAGAACAGCTTAAAAGACATGGTTTAATAAGTGTAGTTCCTACAATTCAATGATCTATGAAAATGCTTTATTTACCCACTTGAAAGAACACTAAAAGAGAAACTCTGCTTTGAACAAGCAATTGTGCCATTTTCCTTCAGTCCAGTAAATAAGTGCCGTCCCTCCCAAAGAGGATCCCATGGTCTCCATAGTTCAGTAGTTGAAGAGTAGGAGCATGAGAAAGATGGCGGCACTAGCGAGGTTCAGGTAAGTAATCTCTCCTTTATGTGTGCCAATGTCACCGTGGGGGGGGGGGAGGGGGGGACGACGACTTTCCGTATTCAGCAAAGTTCCCATACAGTGACAGCGTTGCTTTAAAGGACCACTATAGTGCCCTGAGGGTGCCCCCACCCTCAGGTAACCCCTCCCGCCGGGCTCTGGAGAGAGGAAGGGGTTAAACACTTACCTTCTCCAGCGCCGGGCGGGGAGCTGTACTCCTCCTTGCTCGCGACGTCATCGGCTGAATGCACATGCGCGGCAGGAGCCGCGCGCGCATTCAGCCGGTCACATAGGAAAGCATTTACAATGCTTTCCTATGGACGCTTGTTTGCTCTCACTGTGATTTTCACAGTGAGAAGCACGCAAGCGCCTCTAGCGGCTGTCAATGAGACAGCCACTAGAGGCTTTAGAGGCTGGATTAACCCTCAGTATAAACATAGCAGTTTCTCTGAAACTGCTATGTTTATAAAAAAAAAAAAAAAAAAGGGTTAATCCTAGAGGTACCTGGCACCCAGACCACTTCATAAAGCTGAAGTGGTCTGGGTGCCTAGAGTGGTCCTTTAATTCCACTCCACTTGTGCTAGTTCAGCACTTCTATGTTCCCACAATGTTCTCAACAATTTATATCAGAAGACACACTGAGCTTTGCTTTAAACGTTAGTAAAATTATAATTAACAGTTCCTCTATAAAAGGAGTATTTAAAGCACTTTTCAAGAGCAGTAATCACACATACCAAGTTCATCGAGAAGTACAAGGGAATGTTCAGTTGCATGCTGCAGAATACTGGATGTTTCACTGAGCTCCACAAAGAATGTGCTTTCACCTACAAACAAAAGTTAGGAGTCCTGTCAATCAAATATATATATTTATTATTGTACTGTCACTATTAACGTTGGGACCTGAAGTAGTCATCCATCTATACTTTGTAATCGCTCACCTGACATTATTCTGTCTGATGCTCCCAGTCTTGTGAACACTCTGTCAACAGGAGTCAGCAGACATATCTCCGCAGGAACATAACATCCTAACTGTGCCATGACGACTAGCAGTCCAGCCTACAAGTAGACACGACCACAGCAGGTTAACCTCCCATACAGAACAAAAAAAAAAAAAGACATTTCAATTACATTTAAAAGGCATGGCAAAACCGTGACGAGAGTGACTGCTGACTACAGAGATACGTGCGCCCTGCTTTACTCTAAAAAGATCATTACCCGTAGAGGAGGTAAGGTGCTTTCGATGCTGCTCATTACAAAATGCAAACATTATGGCAGTACTGAACACAACGTAAAATTGCCATTATCAGTCAATATTTTAATATTGCTCTGGTATTAAAATACCAATAAAGTAAATTCAGTGCTAGAACTGTGCAATAGTTAAAGGACCACTATAGTGCCCTGAGGGTGCCCCCACACTCAGGGTCCCCCTCCCGCCAGGCTCTGGGGAGAGGAAGGGGTTAAACTTACCTCTTTCTCCAGCACCAGACGGGGAGCTCTCCTCCTCGGCTGAATGCGCATCAGGAGCCATTCACAATGCTTTCCTATGGACGCTGGCGTCTTCTCACTGTGAAATTTACAGTGAGAAGCACGCAAGCGCCTCTAGCGGCTGTCAAGAGACAGCCACTAGAGGCTGGATTAACCCTAACAAACATAGTTCCTCTGAAACTGCTATGTTTATTTAAAAAAAAAAAAGGGTTAACCCTAGATGGACCTGGAACCCAGACCACTTCATTAAGCTGAAGTGGTCTGGGTGCCTATAGTGGTCCGTTAAGATTAACTGACATAACTTTTTTGGCAAGTTTAAATACAATTTTTTTGTACACTTTTTCTTTACATGTGACTTGGGAGGCTGAAGGAGAAGGGTCGATATACAGATATAGATGTACAGGAACAGCTGTGTTGACTACAGTTTGAAGTAGGACATAGTAGTGAAAAAAAAAAAATATATGAACAGCAGACAGACCCTAAAGTGAGTTTACCTGTCTCAACAGGGTTGACTTGCCCCCCATATTTGGCCCAGTCACAAGCACACAGTGAGCCTCACTGTTATCAGAGTCTTCCTTATCCCTGCAGCCAATTACAATATCATTCGGGATAAAATCATCCCCAAAAAAAGTCTTTGTAATACAGGGGTGCCTAGAGCCCCTTAGCTCCAGGAAAGGAGATGTGTCATCAGGCAACAAAATACTAGGTCTACATACTGGTCCATCTCCACCTTTACTGTACTGGGACAAAGACAGGAGGACATCTGGGAATACAAAAAACAAAACAATTACCAAAGTATTCAGACAATCAAATCAGTACGTGCATACATTACGTTTTAAAAAATACTGCTTTAAGTTCCTGCAATAGACTCCTCAAATTAATACATTCCTGTGGTCACTTCTAATGGGGCAAACGCAGATACTACAATAAAAAGTAAATGAGAATGAAAATACATATTACTGCATCTCCTGGCATACCCTTGGTCAATGGGGGCCAACCAGTTTTAAAGTGTCTCTGGTCAGAAACCCTACTCTCTTACACAAGACTGTGCAGGTAGAAAGAGCCAATAAGTTTTTAACGGATCTTTTGCATAAGCATCTAAAAAAAATTCTGTAAACTGCTTATCGCATATGGTACTTTATTGGACAAGTGGTGCTACTTACTAGAGGACCTTAAAAGGACATGTATTACTTGACAGTTATTTTATATAGTTAAAGCAGAGAATGCATATACAGCAGCACTGTCACCCCCATGTTAAAAAGGAGTATTTCATAAAGATTGAATCTTTACAAGATACTCATTATGACGGTGTTGGAATGTAACTGAAATTCCAACCCAGTCAAGAGATACACAGAGACAAAGTAGGGACTACTCTGTCTGTCTTTCTCCTCTGCCTGACAAAGTGGAGCATATGTGTCAAGTTGTGTCTGTGGAGGATTCCCCGGTCTTACGGGATCTACCAGATACCTCAATTCTGTACTCAGTACAGTATGTCGGTTCCTGGGGGAGCGGCGCAACCAAGATGGCGGCATCCGAGAGTGACAGTTTAAGGTAACTAATCTCACCCCTAACTACCGGACTCCCAGCGGCAATGTCACTGTTGGGGGACTTTGCAAATTTGGCAAAGTCCCTAGACTGTGACAGTGTCACTTTAAATAAAAGCCAAGTCATTGACTAAAACCACACACTTACCTAGTACAGCGAAGCACTCCACTGCAGTTTGCCATTCTTTGTAGTTTACATCAAAATTATAAAATAGACGTCTCATACAGTCTTTGAGGGCTGCATCTCGCCTCTCTTCCGCATTCACAATGTCTCCAAATAATCTTTCAATGGTCTTTGTCCAATACCGCTTGTATCCTTTCTTTGTAGATTTTAATTCAAATTCTTCTGGCAAATTGCGTTCAGTGACACTCTCTGGTATTTCCATCTGATAGCGATTCTTAGCAGTTCCCCAATAAACTATACTTTTGCAGCCTAGCCTTTTCCGTTGCTTCTCCAAATACTCATTCAAGTTCTGTTCAGCTGCTTTTATATCCTTCAAAGCTTCATCATAGTCTGGATCAAAGCCAGCTTTAGGAGTGATTACCCCAGTCTTTCGGGCTTTCTCGTGATCAAAGGAGGTGTCCCACCTTTTTAGCTCTGCTGATAAGTCAGGAAAGAGTCCCTTGGAAGTTTTATTTTTAAGCCCAACAACTTGCCTAAGTATATTGGACTTGAAATCACCAAGAGCATCATCCATGATATTAATGACTTCATGCATCACCTTAAATCCTTCTAGGGTGGATAAGAAATCTGCAATTTTCTTTTTACTGTAAGTTGTTTCCTCATACATAACCGCTCTACTGTCTGGATGGTTCTGGCTTTTAAGTGAAGAACCTATACTATGAATTTTACTTAGCAGCCTTTCAAGATCAGGGAGTTTTTTCAAAAGCTCATTAATTTCAGAGACCTTTTCTGGAATGGCCATAAGATCTTCCACTGCAGTAAGGCGATCATTAATCGAGGAGGGATTACACAGAGGTGAACAAAGCCACTGTTTCAAGAGCCGTTTACCAAATGGTGTGAAGCATGAGTCTAATTTCTCTAACAATGTTCCTTCTGCTGATCCGTTGGTTCCATTTTGAAGAATCTCTAAGTTTGCTAGTGTTACTCCATCAAGGACCATACGCTGGCTTGTTTTAGCAAAGAAGTTGCTTGAACTCAGTGATTTTTCTATATTTTTATCAACAGGAATGTATTCTTCAAAGTTTGCCATCGACAGCAGTTCCTGATCAATAAGGCATTTTTTAAGGTAAAATATACAGGCACCTAGGGCAGATAGTGCAAGTTCACTTTTTTCACCAGGAGTTAGTGATAAAGAATCACTTTCGGATATCATGGATTTAAGAACTGGTGGTAATGTGCTATTGTCGTCATCATGCTTACTTTGTTTTGCAAAATATGCTTCTTCAGCTAAAATCTTTAGTGTTTTGGATGCATCCCAAAACTGAGATATTGTTTGCAAACCTTCTTGAATGGAAGTAGACACACCGCTTTTAAGGACTTTCTTAGTGTCTATAGAAGGGTTTCCCTTCTCAAACAAAATTTGAACTGGGGGAAAATGGGCTACCAATGTCCGAAACCTAGAACAGTGCCGATCATCATCAAACTGCCCAATATGAAATTTTCCCATGGAAGTATCAACAAAACAAACACCATATACTCTCTGCTGACCAGAACAGTCTATTTTTTCCTTGAAGCAAAGAAGGTACTTACTATGGCTTTCTGATGGCTCGCCATCTAAAACACTGTATGTCTGTGTTCCCTTGGTAATTATCCTGCATATTTCTCTTCTTACCACCTTGTCAAATTTACTTGGATGTGACATGGACTTACAGCGTGCTTCCATCATCTCAGGAGTTTCTGTCTGCTCCACCCTTGCTACTTTGAAACCTTTTTGTACAAGAACATCAGAAAAACGTCCAAAAGCAATCTCTGGAAATCCAGAGTGAGCCCAAGCTCCTTTCATAAATGTCAAGCCCAACTCATTGACACCAATGACAGCGTCCATGTGGTACAATTCATAAAACTTGCCAACCTTATAGAAGATAACAGAATCAAAGTTCTCAGACTTCAGCTGCCACCATTTTCTCATACCGGGAGTGCATTTATTAAGGAAATCATCAGGGACATACAGTGTGGATGGGTCATAATCTGGATCATTTTGTTTTTTTCGTTTCAGATCTTTTCTCCTGCCATCTTGAAGCCAGTCTAACTTCTCATGATCCCACACAGAAACACTACCAGTCACCGAGGCATTCGCCTGAGACTCAAAGTTTTCAGGAGCAGAAAAAGAGGACAACTTCAGCTTTGCCTCAACAGAAACATTTGGTATTCTTTTCGGCGTTTCGGAGACATCCTTTTGCAAACTCTTTCTTGAGACAGGAACATTTTCAGCTTTCCCTCGTTTACGTTTCAATGGAATTTTAATGGGGCTATCCACTTCAGTGTCCGTACTAGGTTCGGAGAGATCATTTTCATCCACTCCACTACTGGCTTCATCACTGCTTGCACTAATATCCTTCGCTTCAGGTTTGAATTCATCGTCAGAGTCCTTGTCGTCACTGTCCGACTGGACCATAATTCTTCTTCTTTTGGGTTTTCCACTACTTTTGCTTTCCTGTCTCTTTGTTTGTATTTCTGCTGGTTCCTCATCACTTACAGACAAGTCATTGTCTACCTATAAAAACAAAGACAGGGAAAAGAAATCATACAAAATGCATTGTAACATATAGAGCAAGATTATCTAAATTATCTCCTATCCTACCTCCTAAAATGCAGCTAGCTACACGTTTCAGCTATATATTCCACATTTTGAGATTGTTTACATTACAAAATGTCAGGTTATCAAGTCTGTTAATGCATACATATCTTTATTTACCTACCAATTAAATGTAATTTAGAAAATTTAAATGGACATATATTTATTTCAATTCTGTGGATCATTCTGTGTGTGTAATTTATCCCATCTTTCCCATCAACTTTATTTAAAGGGACACTATAGTCACCAGAACTACAGCTTATTGTATTTATTCTGGTGAGTAGAATCATTTTCTTCAGGCTTTTTGCAGTAAACACTTTTTCCCCCCAGAGTGTTTACTCTTCAGATGACTACTAGAGGTGCTTCCTGGGGCAGTGCTGTAACATTCAGTGTCTCTATCCTCTGCATGAACTTTCATCTCATAGATGTGCACTGATTCAATGCATCTCTATGAGGAGATGCTGACTGGCCAGGGCTGTATTTGGCTTGTGCTGGCTCTGCCCCTCATCGGCCTCCTTGAAAGTCTCAGCCAATCCAATGCTTTTCTATTGGAAAGTATTGTGATTGGCTCAGACCACCACTTCTGATAATGTCAGGCAAGGAGGCAGAGCCAGCAGCAGCAAACTGGAATAAATTTAAGATTTAACTGTAATAAGGGGGACAAGGGAGCTAGATGGTGCTTGTAATACTATAGGGTCAGGAATACATGTTGCAGATAGAAGCCTGTAGTATATTTAAGGATACTTTTTTTAAAATTTATTTTAAGAATTTGAGTAAGATTATCTAAAACAGAGTTTAACAATTATATACATCTCCAAATACACTGGTCAAAGATTTATAGTTAGACATATTAATATGTATAAATATAAAAACTCAAAGTTAGATTTTCTCTAATTTCGTAGAAGACACGAGCAGATTTACAGCCATTGCTCAGAAATGCTTTACTGCTTCACACTACAAGTGGTTACCTCCATTTCTTCCTCAGAGTCCGAAGGGTCTGTACACACCACCAATTCAAGACGTTTTTCTTTGTCTTTTTTCATAGCATCGTCAGCCATTACCATAGATTTTCTCAATTCAGGTTTGGTACTGAAAAACATTCCACCCTTTTGGACTTCTACAGCTGTGGAACCTTCAATGAATAAAAAATAAATAAAATAAAAATGCTACAGAAAAAAAAATAAAAAAATTGTATATAGGTGAAGTCAATTCAGGCATTTCACACAGTTACATTACAACATGTGGACATTTATATTTATTCAACTCAGTGGTGTTTCAGTCAGTGAGATAACAACTGTTCCAGCTAGAGCATCCATCTCCACTTTGATTTCAAACTGCAGATTTGATTAATAAAAAAATCAGAGAATTTCATCCTCGCAAGATCAATACATTGGGTGCTTGCCAGATGGGTTAGTGTCAGTACCCTCAGAGATTTTACAACTAGAAGAATTTGAGAGTGCCCCTCATGGTATCTGATATCACATAAATTACAGAAAGCATAAACAGTAAAAAAATAAATAAAATAATAGACCGGAAAATAGATATAACCATTACAATAAAAGACTTCAGGTGACTGAAAATTATGATAGACAGAACTATATACAGATTTTTATAGAATATATACGCATGAGGTTACTTCCATCAAAAGTGTACACAATCTATATTTTCTCATTTTCTTCTACCTTATCAAAATATTAATATAATAAAACCGAAACTAAAGTTAATATACCTAAAAAAGGCTTCATGTATTTTACACCGATCCATCCCCTAGTTGGGTTCTCGTCAAAAAACTGCACGTGAACATGGAGAGATTTCCCCTTTCCCCTCAGATGAGTGTCACTTTTTGGGTGATTGTAAACTAAGGAAGGCCACCAAGGATGACCTGCCATTTTGGCCCATACCAGGTCTCCAGGAGTGAACTCACATACGATACTGCAAAAAAAAAATATATAGATTATAATTTAACAGCGACACAATTTTAAACACAGAAACAGTTTTATTGTGGATCATTACAAACATGAACATACATAAACCAGACTTGTGTACCTAAAAATTAGAAGCCAGACATTAGTGTCACATTCAAGGGATACTAAGAACAAAACAACAGATCATGCCCCTGCAGTCTCACTATTCAATTCTCTTCCATTTAGGAGTTAAATTACTTTATTTATACAGCCATAGTCACACCTCCCATGGCTGTGACTGACAGAGCCTGCATGAAGAAAAAAAAAAATAGGTTCCCTTTCAATCAGATATTAACTTGCTTTAGAAGTTTGTATTACCTGCTCTGTTAATTGAACTATAATTCACACACGAGACTCTTGCAGGTCTAGAAGACCAATTTAGAAATTCTTGTCTCCCACTCTGTTAACACACAATATGCAATAACATTAGATTTCTCATTACAGAAGGGACTTAGGAAGCCTGTGCCACTCACATGCAGGGGGTGTGACTATGGCTGCATAAACAAGTGGTTTAACTCCTAAATGGCAGAGAAATGAGCAGAGAGACACCATTAAGTTAACGTTATTTTTGGTGACTATCGTGTCCCTTTAAAGAAACAATTAAAGTGATTCAATTAAGTGATCTGGTACAGTGACCCTGTCCCTCTTAAACCTACAATGTAAAACATTGCAGTTTTTGAGAATGCTCCACTGGAAAGGACTGATTTAAGTATGGACAGGTACACTAGAACGTTAGGAACACAGATTTGTATTCCTCACACTGTACTGTTCCTTTAACCTTTCCACTCCCACACAAAGCAATCTATCCACTCCCATAACTGGCCAGTAATTCACTTACATATACACACACAAAAATACACAAGCATTTTAAAAATTGTGACACTAAAATGGCAATTGTAATAAGACTGCAATGACTAATCAAGTATGCTGTCCAGGACTACAATTTCCAGGGGATATTGGTTGTGTGAGCATCTTATAGGGATACTCCAGACCCCTAAAGCACTTTAGCACGCTTAAGTGCTTTATGTGTGAAGGGCGTGCCCTCTTTAAATTTTACAAAAAAGTGCAAAATTCTGGAGAAAATTAAGTTTGTTACACCCTATGGCAATTACTTTCTGGTTGTATAGCTCCGTGTATTGATAATGAAACCCTTTTTAAAAATTCTTTATTTTTGTAGTGCATACTGGGGCAAACATTTATCGTGACACATCAACCAGAATAGATACAGCACAGAATCCGTATGTATGTTACAGGACATGTCGAGCGACTAGCACTTTTTAGTTTTTTTATTATTAAACATCTCGAGTAAATAGAAAGTACACAAGAATGGTTCACTATATGCTCCCAAAATACAAATGGACCCTTTAAGGAAAAAAAGTGTTCCCAATCAAGACACTTGAAGTAGTAAAGCCGAAACAAAGAAAACCAAAAAGGGTACTGAGTGGACTAAATAGATACAGGCTGCAAATAACCAAACAGGTGAATAAAAAATATTATACACCCTGAAAAAAAACAAAACAATACAACGTATTCTGTAAAGTAAATAAAATATATATATGGTGTAGTATGTTAGGGTTAGATATCAAGGTGAGGGTGGTAGAGAACGCACTTGATCGATGTATATTCAGGCACTTCTCCCATAAATAGGGTCAGGAAAGTAAATGGATTATCTTCAGGCAAGGTCTTCTTAATGGCTCAGAGTAACAGGAAAAAATGAAAAAAATATATAGGGCAGATGGTATTAAAATGTAACATTTATTGCACTTACAGGATATCAGATAAAATAAGGCATATCTCCACAACCAGCGTGGTGTCCGGACTTCAAAAGGATAGCAGGAAGCTCCAGAGTTTCCACATGCAGGGTGGCAAATATACAATAATAAAAAAAAAAAAAAAAAGTATAAACAAGTCCTACGCGTTTCGTTTGTTGGGACTTCCTCAGGGATTGATGTAGATGCTCAAGGAGAGTCTTCATATATTGGTGTCCTTGAAGATTAATGCGTGGCAGCTGGACCGGCGTTTGTTTCATTGCGGGTCTTTACTTCCTGGTTTGACAACATTCTGTGTAAGTCTATGACGTCATCAGTCATGGCGTGCGTTTTTACCTTGTAACACAAAAGTCTTCCGGGTCATGGTTTGCGACGAGCATATAGTCAGAAACCAAATTTAAACACCAAATGTTTTGTGTATACACATACAATCCGGGCTATAGAGAAGTCTGGGCATCATGGCAGATAAAAGTATAAAAATTTATATTAATCTTTAAGGACACTGTGACGAAGTGCCCTTTGACACTTGTGCCCGGAGAGGACTAATTACCAGCCTCTTGCCGTATGACTATGGTCTCTGGGAGATTTTGCCAGTTAGAAACACCATTTGGACTTATTGGTGTTTTAAAAGACTGTTCTGGCCCTTTAAATGGTACTGGCACAGTTCTGCAACTTCCAATAACTGTCATATTTTCAAACTCTGTCTGACCTTACAACTGTCATATTTTCAAACTCTCTGCCCTTACAACTGTCATATTTTCAAACTGTCTGCCCTTACAACTGTCATATTTTCAAACTGTCTGCCCTTACAACTGTCATATTTTCAAACTGTCTGCCCTTACAACTGTCATATTTTCAAACTCTGTCTGACCTTACAACTGTCATATTTCTGCCCTTACAACTGTCATATTTTCAAACTGTCTGCCCTTACAACTGTCATATTTTCAAACTGTCTGCCCTTACAACTGTCATATTTTCAAACTGTCTGCCCTTACAACTGTCATATTTTCAAACTGTCTGCCCTTACAACTGTCATATTTTCAAACTCTGACCCTTTTAACTGTCATTTTGTTTTCCTCTGAGGAGGAGGAGTTTTGCTGCATGAGTGCTGTTGCTTTTGTGTGCTCATTAAACAGACCTTTCTTGAAGCCTTGGATCATGCTTGGGGGATGGGATAAGTCTGCAGTGCTGATGGTGTCGGTTGGAGTGCTTGGAGTCCTCAGCAAGCACTAGGAGCATTGATTGGCGGAGGTACTTGGTCGGAGTGCCAGCGGGTCCGTCACAGTCACCAATATATGAAGACTCTTCTGGAGCATCTACATCGATCCCTGAGGAAGTCCCAACATACGAAACGCGTAGGACCTGTGTATACTTTTTTTTTTAAAACTTTTATTTTATTGTATAATTGCCACCCTGCATTTGGAAACTCTGGAGCTTCCTGCTATCCTTTGAAGTCTGGACACCACGCTGGTTGTGGAGATATGCCTTATTTTATCTGATATCCTTTAAGTGCAATAAGTGTGTTACATTTTAATACCATCTGCCCTATATATTTTTTTCCTTCTTTCTGTTACTCTGAGCCATTAAGACCTTGCCTGAAGATAATCCATTTACTTTCCTGACCCTATTTATGGGAGAAGTGTCTGAATATACATCGATCAAGTGCGTTCTCTACCAAACTCACCTTGATATCTAACCCTAACATACTACACCATATATATATATTTTTTTTTATTTACTTTACAGAATACGTTGTATTGTTTTTTTCAGGTTGTATAATATTTTTTATTATTCACCTATTTGGTGTTTGGTTATTTGCAGCCTGTATCTATTTAGTCCACTCATTACCCTTTTTGGTTTTCTTTTTTTCGCCATCACAAGTAAACTGTCATGTCTAAGTATGTGACCATTTAAGTGCGCAAGATCAGGAGGCTTGAGATAGGCATGACTATTACAGGATAATAATAATAATAATAATGATAATAATGATTATAATAAAAGTTAAATCTGCGACACAGCTGCAAGAATTAAAACATGTAATGGAGAGGCAGCCATATGTCGGTGTGATCTGATACAAGTTGACCACCGCCCACAGCAGGTAAGACTGGCGCTAAAACAGGACCCTTGATATAGGAAGACCGTGCCTCACTTAAGGATGTGGAGGAGCCCTTTGTGGAGGTAGGCACCAGATGCTGTAGTGGTGGGGACCAGGATAATCCCCACCGGCCCATTCATTGGAGATGTAATCTAAAAGGTGTGATGAGCAGAACTCTCCCAACCACCTAGAAATTGAAGAAACCTAAAAGGTGTATTGAGGAATGCGGATTGGAGGAGAGCACCATAACGTTAGACTGTTGAGAGCTGGCCAATTCAGGCCAAGATTAAAGGAGAGCATCATGAGGAATAATGGAGAGAATAGGCCATATCATCTTGAAACTGGAAGAAAACAAAAAACTGAGTTTATACACTAATCTCTGAATTGGAGCTAAATGCAAGTAATCAATCTGTGTCTAAAGAGTTGGATTTTTGTTTCCCTCTTTTAATTCAGCTATTTTCGTGTAAACTTTGCATGTCTGCTTCAAATTCACAAAACTTTGGTGTTCAGTGAATAGCTTCCATTGTTTTCTCACATCAAACTGCAGAGAACAAACCCAAATTGCAAAACCTAAGCTGAGACAGTAGGCGTTCTTTGCAAGCCAGCTTTTCCCCCCCAGAATTCTGCAATAAGGATTTCAATTCACTGCAGTTTATTTAGAGAATAAACCCCAGAGCTCCCAGGTATCCACATAAGTGATGGGCGAACCATGGCACTCGTGATACCTGGAGACTGCATTCCCCATGACACTCAGCCACCCAATGACTGCAAACCCTGGCACTCCAGATGCCTGGAGACTGCATTCCCCATGACACTCAGCCACCCAATGACTGCAAACCCTGGCACTCCACATGCCTGGAGACTACATATCCCATGATCCTTAGTCAACAAACGACTGCAAACCTTGGCACTCCACATGCCTGGAGACTACATATCCCATGATCCTCAGCCAACCAATGCCTGCAAACCTTGGCACTCCACATGCCTGGAGACTACATATCCCATGATCCTCAGCCAACCAATGACTGCAAACCTTGGCACTCCTCATGCATGGAGACTACATATCCCATGATCCTCAGCCAACCAATGCTTGCAAACCTTGGCACTCCACATGCCTTGAGACTACATATCCCATGATCCTCAGCCAACCAATGACTGCAAACCTTGGCACTCCACATGCCTTGAGACTACATATCCCATGATCCTCAGCCAACCAATGACTGCAAACCTTGGCACTCCACATGCCTGGAGACTACATATCCCATGATCCTCAGCCAACCAATGACTGCAAACCTTGGCACTCCACATGCCTGGAGACTACATATCCCATGAGCACCATGCCCATCTCTGGTTAGGACAGTAAGGACGGATCCAGGTGATCCCAGCCCCCGTGGTAGTTAGTACCTGGGAGTGGCAGAGCGAGGAGCTTTCCTTCCATTGCTTTGAGCCCCACATACTCGGTCCCTGGCCCCTTCCTTGGGGGACGAGCTGCTGGACTTCCTGCCCGCAGTGGAGGAGGGCAGGTCGGCCTCGGTGGGGGACGCGGACACCTCCCTGGACTTGCTCTTGGTGGTGCTGGAGATCGGGGGAGATTTGGCGAAGAAGCTGAAGAGCGTGCTCTGCTTGGCCATGGCCGCTGGCGGGAAAATCCTTCACTATGGAGACAGCTCACAGCGCTACTCACTGAGCTGACGGCTTAGCCAATCAGCGCGTTCGGACGGGCAGCACTGGGGGCGGGCCCAGCCAGGCGCGTGGCGGCAGGCTTACGTTCTAAACAAGAAGAAAAACACACCTCACGTCGAACGCTTTACGTGCTGTGCGATTTTCGGCTGGAGCCATTTTGGCGGAGTCTCTCGCATAGGGAATCCTCTTGGTCTCCGGGAATATGTCCGCTACCCTTTAGAGAGAAAGAAAAAAAAAAAAAGTTTATTTCAAAGTGGATCATGTATTGTGGCGTTTATGAAATTGCTTGCTGATCAAATTTTACTAATCAAAATTTCAAAAAGCTGTTTAGAATATAGCTTACTTATTATTAATAATTAAATTATTTTTTTTAAAAACTGAGTTGTAAGTTTTGGGCAGAACTTTTTTTCACATCAGCAATTTTAGTCCACATTGCGATTCGGATTTCAGTTCTCTACAATGTTTAGTAGAATAAATCCTTTAAAACTGAATGTTAGTTGCAAGGTGAGCTACATTAATAATGGGGTGAGCTACATTAATAATGGGGTGAGCTACATTAATAATGTTTTCATTGTTTTTACATTCTAAAAAAACAGTGAGAATATTATTTTGAAGAGCACGTGTCCTGCAAAAATGTTGTATAAAATATAATTCCAGGTGTGTAATATGTTGATATTGTTCACTGATTTCCAATCAAGTTCTCAAGGCACCAACAGTTCTGGTCTTTCTCATTGGGAATGCTGTCAAAATGAGGTCTGGGTTTGGGGGATCAATGGTTCTGGTGCAAATAGCCTGTCCCTGCAGACTGATAGTTGTAAATATTGCCCTTTCTCAGGAAAGGCAATGTTTACATTTGTCCCTATGGACACCCCTAGTGGCTGCCACTGAGACAGCCATTAGATGCACTTTTTGGAGTGGTCCTGCAATCTTTGCTGGACCGAAGTTAGGTATTTTCATGTTTTCCATAAAGATACCAAACACTCCCCATAGAAATGCACTAAGCCAATGCATCACTATGAGGAGATGCTGATTGATGCAGAGGGGCAATTGGAGGACAAACACAAACCCCCCCTAAAGCTTCCTAATGAGGATGTACTGGATAGGCTGAGGTAATCTGACTATAAGGTAAGCTAATTATTGCAGTTTTTAAGGTAAAGCCAGTTGTGCCCATAAAGAGTGATTTTACAGTGCTCGGTACAACATTGAGGGGGACTGTCCTTGCTATGGTTAATTGCATTCACTTACCAATCCCTGCTAACCTGGTTTTCAAGCGAAGCCCTCTTACCTGGGTCCTACCAGACACCAGGTCTCCTCTCAAACAGATTTGATTTGAATATTGGGACTTAAGCCATACTAAACAGAGTGTATGCAGAGGAAACATTGTTTAATGCTATTAAAGGAACACTATAGTCACCTAAATTACTTTAGCTAAATAAAGCAGTTTTAGTGTATAGATCATTCCCCTGCAATTTCACTGCTCAATTCACTGTCATTTAGGAGTTAAATCACTTTGTTTCTGTTTATGCAGCCCTAGCCACACCTCCCCTGGCTATGATTGACAGAGCCTGCATGAAAAAAAAACTGGTTTCACTTTCAAACAGATGTAATTTACCTTAAATAATTGTATCTCAATCTCTAAATTGAACTTTAATCACATACAGGAGGCTCTTGCAGGTTCTATCAAGCTATTAACATAGCAGGGGATAAGAAAATCTTAATTAAACAGAACTTGCAATAAAGAAAGCCTAAATAGGGCTCTCTTTACAGGAAGTGTTTGTGGAAGGCTGTGCAAGTCACATGCAGGGAGGTGTGACTAGGGTTCATAAACAAAGGGATTTAACTCCTAAATGGCAGAGGATTGAGCAGTGAGGCTGCAGGGGCATGTTCTATACTCCAAAACTGATTCATTAAGCCAAAGTTGTTCAGGTGACTATAGTGTCCCTTTAATCAGTGGTCGAAGCAATCGTTTTTAGTAATAGAAGTATGTTTATACTGATTGATTTTACTATCTTTTAGTTTTATTTTTCTGGGGCGGGTGGGTGTTGTTTTTCCTTTTTGTTTCTTGTTTTGATGAGTGTTTAAGAGTAGTAAAGGGTTTAGTGTATAGATGAAGAGGGAGTATCGTCAAAATAGTGCACCAGGTTTGTTATTATATTTATACAGAATGTGCTAACGCCATTATCAGATATTCCCCTGACCAAGAGCGGTTTCATGCACCAAACAAGTTAGGTTTGCATAAGGAGCAGGTGATGTGTGCATTTGCGTGCTGAACACATCTCTTTCACTGTTCCAACATACAGGGTTATTTACTAAGGTAAGAATACTAAAGTGAATATCAAACCTAAGGCCAGAGTAGCTGAAATAAAAGCATAAATTTCAAATTCATGTTGAATTGTCACTTTAGTAAATAAATCTGATAGTTATGAAATAGTTTAGTGCACAATTTTATTAGTCATTTAATTTATAAAGAACCAGCATACGTTTACATTGCAGTCATAGAAACGTGCACTTACCCTGAAATTATACATACAGACACATTAATATGCACTCACACTCATAATGTAGAAGTACACACTCACACTGACATTACTTATGATACATGAATCTTGCATTGACCTTCACCCACTGACTTACACTCACACTAACATAATGCACATTTAAACTCAGACTTGTAATAAATAACCTGGTGCAGACACACACACTCACACCATGCTAATTCAACCCTAAGTAGAATATTAACGTACATTGGCTTATATGTATTAATCTGAAAAATAAAAAATACTAACATTTTGAAAAAAGCGAACGGCTTAAAAATACAATTTACATAGACCAGCAGGTGCACTGTAAATGTATTTTTAAATATCTTGTATATAAAATATGAAAACCACACATTCATGGTTGAAAACACATTTAGAGGTAGCAGTCATATGTGTAAAACAATTCAAATATATATTTATATTTATCAACACACTATTTAGCAGTAAAATATGTAAAACTAAACCCGTATATAAATATAGCTATGTAGTATCTATGATGACCTGAATTGAATTCACTTCCTGGAACTGACTGCATGCACCTGGGGTGATCATTTTAAGATCTTCAGAAGGATATTGATACCTTAGAGAGGGTTCAGAGAAGGGCTACTAAACTGGTTCATGGATTGCGGGATAAAACTTACCAGGAAAGGTTAAAGGATCTTAACATGTATAGCTTGGAGGAAAGACGAGACAGGGGGATATGATAGAAACATTTAAATATATAAAGGGAATCAACACAGTAAAGGAGGAGACTATATTTAAAAGAAGAAAAACTACCACAACAAGAGGACATAGTCTTAAATTAGAGGGACAAAGGTTTAAAAATAATATCAGGAAGTATTACTTTACTGAGAGGGTAGTGGATGCATGGAATAGCCTTCCAGCTGAAGTGGTAGAGGTTAACACAGTAAAGGAGTTTAAGCATGCGTGGGATAGGCATAAGGCTATCCTAACTATAAGATAAGACTAGGGACTAATGAAAGTATTTAGAAAATTGGGCAGACTAGATGGGCCGAATGGTTCTTATCTGCCGTCACATTCTATGTTTCTATGTTTCTATGATGTAGTTCACTTGCAGATGCCACATTCTATCCATAAAGATTATGATCGAAGTACAACAAAATGACAGTTACATGATCAAATCTTATCCTTTAAATATACTGATTTTCAATAGCTGACCTACATTAGCAGCTACATAATGCTGTGCATTTTTTTTTTGCCCTGATATTAAGGGAACACTCGTTACCAGTGCAACCTTGATGTATTTTATAACTTTCAGCCTAAATAATTAGCTGTATTATTTTGCTTTCTCAATTGTATCTTGTAGAAATATGTAGTCGCATTCTGTATCTTAAAGGACCACTATAGTGCCAGGAAAACATAGTTGTTTTCCTGGCATTATAGTGCCCTGAGGGTGCCCCCACCCTGAGGGACCCCCTCCCGCCGGGCTCTGGGGAGAGGAAGGGGTTAAACTTACCTCTTTCTCCAGCGCCGGGCGGGGAGCTCTCCTCCTCCTCTTCTCCTCCGATCCTCCTCTTCTGCTGAATGCGCATGCGCGGCAGGAGCTGTGCGCGCATTCAGCCAGTCTCATAGGAAAGCATTCATAATGCTTTCCTATGGACGCTTGCGTCTTCTCACTGTGATTTTCACAGTGAGAAGCACGCAAGCGCCTCTAGCGGCTGTCAAGAGACAGCCGCTAGAGGCTGGATTAACCTATTTATAAACATAGCAGTTTCTCTGAAACTGCTATGTTTAGAAAAAAAAAGAAAGGGTTAACCCTAGCTGGACCTGGCACCCAGACCACTTCATTAAGCTGAAGTGGTCTGGGTGCCTATAGTGGTCCTTTAACTGTGCCTCCACTGTCCCTCCTCCGTACTGAATAATACTTAATTTCTGCTGATAACTGCCATGCCTTATGCAATGCCGCTACTCAATGAGGTCTTCTTTTCTTTCCCTTGCATTCACTTAAGTGAAACAAAAGGAATATTCAGTTTCCATTCATGTTTTTACAGGTATTTGCAATGCTGTTTTATATATGTCCATGTATGTTTGTGTTTATAAAAATGTGTTAGGGAAACACGTCTCGTTTTATTAGAAGCTTTAAAATATAGAAGCTTTATGTTATGAAAGCATGGTTGAGACATAAAACAAGAAATGAACTTTGAAGTTTTGGGACCAGTGGAATCTTACTTTTGAGCAAATACTGGGAATAGTATGTGGAATGTGACTAGGCACCTTCCTTGTATTGATTGGATACAAGGAGAAATTACGTCATGTGCTCCTATACGTCTTAAACAATGTTCAACCCATGTTTGCACTTCATCAACTCCACTTTTATCTACAAGTATTTCTCCTCAATATGCTGATATAAAAAGGGCCCTCGAAAAGAAGACTATATTATTGTGCTATTGAATTGCTGACTGCTAACTTGCCCTATAAAGGCAGGATATACCCGTTGTCATGAATGAATCAGGCACTCCTCATCTTCTACATGATCTGGATGTTTCTAAATATAAGAGGGTGATCTCTG